ATATTTCTCTACTTTTTTTTTTATAGTGCAACATATTACGTTAAATCCTTCTTACGACGTTTTAAAAATTCTACAAAATACAATTTCATATAGCGGTGGCAATATAAAAAATGATTTCATTTCAATACAATATTCGCACAAGCTCAATTCCGTATATTCACTGCGAAGAAAAAATGATTATTTTTGTCTTGTAGTACACATGATGTATTAGACAGGACTTCTGATTTCATGAGCAGAGTGCCACATTTTTCTAGTATTTCCACAAGTGTTGATGTGCTAGCAGAATTGAAGGCTTATTTTTGTTTCTCTCTCAGACAAACAGCTCTTTTTTAATGCTAAAAAACATGACAAGTGCCGAATATTAAAAAGCGTAAAAGATCAAGCTAAGTTGAGAATCCCTTAATTCTTTGTTGTCTGATGTCAAAGTTGATTATAATCAGTTTTGCCATTTGTCCTAGCTGTCATAATTTCACAAAGTAACTCTTTTGTAATCCTCTGACTTAATACTAAATAAAAATCATGATTTGATTACCGCTTATTTCTATGTAAATTCTAATTTTTTTGTATTTAGGTTTAATCTCAGAAAACTATGAGATTATTATTCGAATGAATTTATAGATGATGACTGTGCAAAAAAAGAAGCTTGAAAGAAGTAGATTCTTGATAAAATCTCAAGCAACCTTATGAAAGCCGTTGTTGCATTGATATATTCGCCTGTGATGGTCATACTTAAAACAGATGATTATTTCTAATATCAGTACTAATATCAATACGAGAGATTCTCATCAATTAAAAACATCGGGCCTTTTGTAATGTTCGAATATGAAAAGTTTTCAGGTAAATCTTTTTCTGCTTCGTAAATATTTCTATAAATTTTAATTCAAAAGGTTTGTTTTAAAAAGATCAAACGAGTTTTGAACATATCGAAAGGGACTTTTAGGGTTGAAATATTTGATAAATATATACCTATCTTGTAGATTTTTATTTTTTTTCACTGGGTTATAGTCAAATATAAAATATACAGAATTTATCCATTAAAGAAACATATGATATGATTTTTATTTGAGTGCAAGAGTTAAAATTGTCTAGAAAATGCAATTTTCGATAGTTTATGTCTTTTTCTAGTCTCTATAATTGCTCCACTATATAAAAATAATTTATTGTATATTTTCTTTTATCAATGAATCTAAAAACCCAAAATCAGCAGTAAATCACGAGTCTGTTACTATTTTGTGTTAAAAAATTTTCTACATGGTTTTCATCACCTTGAAATCATCATTAATTGTAAGAATTCAAAAAACTTAAATGATAGCAACTTCAGATAGTTTTATGTTCGCAGATAAGAAAAATTGATATACTGAATTCATAAAATCCGTTTGGAATGCTCAAATCTATTCTTAAAATGAAAACAAACTATAACAATAGTAATTTGTACAATTAACAACATCAAAAAAGAAAAGAAAAGAAAAGAAAAGAAAACTGTTCTTCATGTTTCTGTCGAATCGATTGAATTCTTCACTGGCACATATTAACTGTAACCGTTCCTTTTGACAATAATGAACCGGAAAAAGTCCGTTCATTGATTTTCTGAGGGTGTCTAAATATTGTCAGTTTTTGATGGTGTCGTCGTGTTGATATCAATGATAAATTATTCATTAAAGTTATTAGTAGAAACCATCGAAAACGTAAACATTTTCGTCTGTTTTGTTCTATTATTTGTTTTTCATCAATTAATAGAAAATGTTTTTGTCGTCGTCGTTTTTCAAGTATATTCATATAAATAATTTGTGTAAATGTAATTAAAATTGGATGTGTATGCATAGCTTCAACATAGAGATAAGATGTATATGCTGTATAGCCATTATCAATTGTTTCTAAACTTCTTCCAAATATACTATAATCGAGTCTCGGCATAAAAAGTACAAGAGCAATTCCTGATTTCACTAAGCGTGATACACATGATACTATACCAAGAAAGCAATCAAAGAAAAAATTGAAATAAACAAATAGAAAATAAGCATGACGATTTTCTAGTGTAAATAAATCAGACTCTTCATCATCATCGTCATCGTTGGGAGTTAATGTTGATGAACCAGTTGAATCACAATAAATTGCTTGATCTAAATTTTAAAACAATTATCAATTATCGAATTCTTAAATCTGGCAGAGAATCCCTTCAAATCATAAAACATTTTTTAGTTGAGAGCATTTACATTCGATAGATCCATATGAGCTATATAGAAATGTACATATCTTATAAAGGTCTTGTGTTCTTAATTAATTTTAGTGAAAACAATAGTCTCTAATAGCATTATTTAAATGAATAATATGATGCTCCTCAGAAACAATCGAAAAGTCAAAATCTTAACTTGAAACTTTCCTTTGAGATAGAACTTGATGAAAATAGTCGATTGTGAATATTTTAGATCTATGTTTCACAATAAACTGAGTCCGTTACAATTTCTCTATTTACCTGGTCTTTCGATATAAGTATCGTGCTCATCTTTGCTATCATTTTGAATATTTTGTTTTGATTTTCTATGTGATCTAATAACTCTTGAGAAAAAATATTTTGTTAAACAATGTACAATGACATGCTTCAATGCAAATAGAATAACCATTGGTGCAATAATTTTCAGAAGAATTTTCGTTAATAATGGATGTATAAATAATAATTTACAAGTTAAACACGTTATGAACATAAAATAATTGATCATAATAAAACCATACGCTAAATAGCCAACTTGATAACCAGAATAATGAAACGATTTTTGTAGAATGCATGTTGACGATGGAAAATCTTGTTTATTTCTATAGTATTTTCCTCGATAATAATCTAACATATCGGTTTGATATTTTTTCAAACCAAGTAATAATTGTATGACATAAATGAAAAATGATAATAAACATGACATATAAATTTCATTTTGAAATGATAAATTTTCCAATGATTTTATTGATAAATTGAAATTTGTCATATTAATTAATTTAATAATAATATTTCCTGTTAAATTCATAACGATTCTTAATGTAAATGTACTCGAAAATATAATTGAACATGTTAAATAATATAAAACAAGAAATGAAACAGTATATGTAAATAAGACTAATAATGAAAAACGAAAATATGCTTTTGGTTTATAAAATAAATGAGTAAAACTTTGTATGCATGAACAATTTTTTTCTTCATGCAACGTTTGAGCATATAAATAATAACTTGTCGATGAAGATTTTCGTTTACTAACTAATAAACTTTTTGTATAATACCAATCATTATCATATTCAATTGATGTTGTATGATACGTTGAATTAGCCATTGTATTCCATCGATCACTATTACCTTTACATAGTATAAAAAAATTTCGTAATGTTAATGTATAAAATCTTGCCATAATATGTCCTAATGCAACATAATGTGGAAGACATCGAACTAATAAATAATTTATGCGTGACATTTCGATTTGTGGACGTGTTTTAAAACCAATCATTGATGTTAATGAATTAATACAATTAGCTTCATAATAAACTGATAATAATAAATCGAATGTTAAAAATAGTGATGTAAAAAAAGTTGATAAAAATGAATGAACATTCAATGATAATAATATTGGAAAATATCTTATACCATAAAGTATAATTAAACCAAAACGACGTACTAAATCAAATAATATTCCATGATGAAAATTGAAATTCGATGAAAATAATATTTCGTATAGTAATGTCATTAGTTGATTCGATATTATTGCAAATACAATTATTGTATGAAAACGGTTCGACTTTTGAAATGGATTAACAATAATTGGAAATGTTAAATTTTGAAAATAACTTTTCTTTTTATCAACATTTATTGTTTGATGAATTAGAAAAAGAAGTACTGTTAATACAATTGATAATGGTAACATGATTATATTTTGATTGGAATTATTCGAGCCAATTAAATGGCATAGATAATTTTTTGCTGAAAAATTCTTATTCGATTTTTCAGTATGTTCATCATATATTGAACTGGCACGTTGAACACAAATATAAACGATTGATATACCAGCAACAGTAACAGTTAAAAATGATTGTATAAATGTGAGTAAACCATCCATAATTGGTTTTGGACGATGACGCTTTGGAAATTTTGTAATATTTGGACGAGGATTAGGTAATGGAGGTGGAAGAGACGACTTTTTAAAGTCTGATGAAGATGATGACTGAGACGAACCCATGAATTTACCAAATAACTGTTGGCATTTGCCACCTGATGAACCATTAGTAACATATTTATCACTAAAATGAAAAGAATTTCATGTTTAGAAATATAATTAATAAAAATCATGAGTTTATTTCGTTTGTCTTTTATTAAATACGAATTAGAGCTTTGTTTTTCGAATCTAGAGTCATTCATATTTAATCAAAGTGAAATCAACTAAAATTCATCATTAGATTAATCTATTATAATTGCTCAATTTTACGAATGATTAAACATTAAAAAAATACTTATCAACCATGTAATTTCATGTTTGAGATATATTAAACTAAAACAAACGTTGTTAATAGCTCATTTAGCGAGCCAATAACTCATCGTAACCTCTCATATCATTCGACACAATTTACTTGTAAGAACATGTAAAGCTAAGATTCAGTCGAGCCCTTTCTTTTTAAAGACATCCTTTTTATTCATGAGTAATTGATGACGTATTTAATACCTCGAAAAATGTTCATTTATTAATAATGAATGAGTGGCACTGCCATTTTGCATGGCATTTTCAAGAGAAAAAAAAACAAAAAACTTCTATCAATTATGAAAGATCAAATATCAGAGTAAATCAATTTCGATTCTGTTGGCAAAAATGAAACTATTTTGTTTCTAAGAAGAAGCTTAAACTTTCGCTGTAACTTTAACAATAATTTATTTGTGTAATAAACTTTTCGAAGATAAAGACACTCTCGCCCGCCTATGAATATTTATTTATTTGATTAAATCTTCTTATCATTTATAGAATTATCTTGATAATCTCACCTATTTTCATTTCGTCTTTGTATTTGTCTTTTTCGATAATTATTTTTATATTTTTGTGATCGTTTACATACACAAATACCAATACAAGCTAAACCAATAAATAGACAAGCTGCAATAACTTGTATTGCTTCTGAACTATCTGTAAAACAAAAACAAAAGCACAGATTTTTATTTTTGTTCATTAGACAATTAAAAGCGCTGCTTACATTTATCACAATATTTCCCATCGTAAAGAAAAGCACATTCACAACGGAATGTTGTTCCATCATTATTACATACACCATGTATGCCACAAAGATCATTTTCAAAACAATGATCCACTTCTATTCAGAGGAAGAAGAAAAAAAAAGAATTTGAATAAAAAATACATTAATCGATTTATGCGTACTAATTTTACAAAGTGCACGTTCAATTTTTGTACATTCTTGCTGCATTAAACCAAAATGACTTGTCGTTTCATTGGGTCTTAATAGTTCAATTTTGCCACATGGTTTTTGTTGTTGATAAGGAAAAATAAGATTATTTGGTGCAATAACACTTGGTGGTGTTTCAGAAAAATTTACGTGACGCCCATTTAACCACAACCATGATTCTTTAAAAGAATAATTAGAACGAAAAAAAAAAATAAGCATGCCCTTCTGAAATGTTACTTACGATTTCGGTAACTAAAACCAATATACGCTCCAAATTCGGTCGCTGATTGATTAAATATGCCAATAATTTGTCCAATATAATCAAATTCAATAGCATCTTCAAATAATGCTAAACCACCTTGATTTTTATTTGTAGTAGCATGAAAATGACTTTGGCATAAATTATCAGCTTGCGACCATGTTACAGCTTGATTTGTTAACGAATAACAACTACCGCGATAAGCAAACAGTAATACAGATGATGTTGGGCCAAAATCTCGACAATAGTCTAAAAGAAACACCCACACTCATTAGTCATTCGATAGAGACAAGTCAATGCGATTCGCACGTCAATCGTCTCTCATATACATGTGTATAGTCAATTGTCAATTATACATGCACAATTGAATTCCGCTTGTTATTCAAGTGCCCAACACAACAAATGAAGGTGACATTAAACGAGCGGCATTTATGCTACGAACTATCAATGAGGTGAATCAGAACGGCTCAAAGTTTTCTATCTGTTAATAAGCCGTATCCATACGAAATAAAGAACAAAAAAAAAAGAGAACGACTGGTGTAAAAATACACACCTTCAGCCATCGACGATGTTGAGTAGATATTGTTGATAGTAGCATGAGTAATGTTATTTGTATTTGCCTGATTAACCGGACGCCTTTGCGTAGTATCAGATATAACAATAGGTGGTTGATATGGTCGATTATTATTATTTGAAATTTTTGTTTTTAAATTGCGATATTCTTTGAATAGAAAGAATCAAATAGCATTCAATAGAAATATGATTGTTTTTTCCGTTTTAAATTGTAACAAAAGTCTTTAGTATTGTTAGCTATCACTTTTTCATACAAAGAATATAATCTCCTCCTACTTCCCGTCGGGAATGACTAGCACCACCTGTTCGTACTCATCATCTTTAGGTACCAATGGCATTCTGATATGTAGTAGCATCTGAACATATTTTATTTAGCCTAAAGCTGTTGACATCGCCTTGAAAATCATATCCACAATTGTCTTTCGAAATTCAATCGATGATTGGCTTTTCATCATCGTAAATCGATTTATCTATTAATCATTGTGCTGACTATTGGTTGGTGTCGGTCTAGTTTCTAGATGATGATGAATGTCTATAATTGTTTTATCATCTCTCCTCGGGCAAGATCAAAACGTTTTTTTATTTCTGTTATCTCTTTCTCTCTACTCAGATCATACGACGCTGTCAATAAATGTTCTTCAGACATATATCACCTCAAGATCGTTCAAGACAATATCAAAGTCACTTGACTCATAGACTAGAGTAAAAAGTTAACTATCAGCTACTGAAAAAATATCGAAATAGATAAGAGAATATAAACTAAATATTATACTTACTACTAGCAGTTTTTTGTCGAAGTTTTTGAAGCGTACCATCAGTATTAAAAAGTGTTTGTTGAAATAATTCATTAGTAATAATAGGAGAAATTGTAGACAAGACGAATAAAAGGAAGAGTAGAAGGCCGAATTTCATATCTATGAATGTAGTCACAACATAAAATTGTTTAATCTGTATATATGTATGATGTCTCGCTCGCGTATATGAATACGCCTATATGAGCAACAACAATCATAATTTTTCTCTCTGTCTCTTTCTCTCTCTCTCTCTCTCTTCTGTTTCTCTTTCTTTCATTCTTTTCTCTTTTATTTACATATACCGATTGAACAGTATTGACTTCTATATATGCGTGCATGTCTCTTTTTTCGGGACGAATGCCCTTCTTGTCTTTTGTTCACTTTTTTTTGTATTCTAATAATGCAAATTACCATATCATACTTGATTATGGTTCATATTTTCAAGGCTAATCACGCGAACTGAAAATTGGCTCTATTGTATATTTAGTACTGTCTAGGTTTAAATTAGACGCTTTTTGATCACAGGTTCTTGTTAATTTAGTTATTTTATTATACGTTCGTTTTTTCTTCGTACAATCATAAAACGATGATGGAGACGTATTTAATAGTGGTTGCACAATAAACAACAATAAGTAGAGAGAGAGAGAGAGAGAGAAATAAGTAGTACTGGATCGTTTTTAAAAGTGTGAAATCAAAAATAGCGATGTCGAAGCAAATATCACGTCTGCTTGACAAAATCTTAAGTCATAAAAATACGAAAGAATGAAAAAAGAAGAAAAAATCATCGCTTTATGTTAATGCTTCTACTGGCAGCAACTTTTTACGTTTATGCAATAAGGCAAGTAGTTCGTAGTACTGTTCAATTAGATGTTACGACAATATGTACCATCACGCTCACATACTCAAGTATACCAATAAGAAAGAACAAAATTTTTTTCTTTTTCTTGAACTATATATATATATATATATGTATATGTATATATACATGTCACTGCTTTAATATACAAAAAGGTACTCATTTAATTGAATATTCAAGTACTATATACTGCTGTTGCCATCACCATGATGACAAAATGAACAGTTGTTGTCTTCCTTTTTTTATCGTCTTACGTCATCTATCATTTTAACAATTGAGAAATCAAAATTAAATTCAAAAAAAAAAGAAAAGAAATCAACGATTAATCATGCGCACTTCTCATGACATCTTATAGATAACCGATGATTAGTAGTATAGTATGTTCGCACACGAAATTTGTACATTGATGCGTCTTTGATCAAAAGCAATGATAAGACAAAGTAGTTGATTTTTTTTCGTCTAGTTTTACAATTAATCGTGATGACCTTCGAGAGGCAAGATCGACAAAGGCGGGCCTTTCTTTAAATATTCACTTAGAAATCAATGGGTGACAACAATAACACTCAAAAACAGATAATAGGATTCGCTTTTTTATATGATCATGGGATGAATGAAAACATGAGAATTCATCAATTGTATACATCTGCTATTAGACATAATAGTTCATAAAATATAGCTACTTGTACTGTTGACGCAATAAAAGTGACTATGGGGTCAGTCATCCACTCCGCCCACCCTATGTTTCACTTGAGTATCATTTAACCAGCAGTGAGCAAGTTGGCACACACGCACACACAACCTCTTGTAATAGGCAAGTGCCATCAGACTACTATTCTCTCTATCCAATATTCCCACTTCACTTAATGAACGGATTGTTGGTGTATACTAATGTCATCCAGTTTTTTTGTTTGCTGTTAGTAAGCGCGCGCTTTCGCGTTTGCAAGCAAATGAATTACCTCAAGAGGCAAAACATATACTGGTGAACTTGTAATTCGAGAGAACGCACTAGTAGTTGTTCTTGCTAGTGGCAGACAGATACGCCCTCGTATGAATGAATGAATGAATGAATGTGTGTGTGTGTGTGTTTGTATGCGTATGCATGCCTCTCTTTACATCATACTTCAGAACCTTCATTCTATTAGGCGGCGTTGACTAAAGTGCTTGTATAGGTAAACAGAAAATGAAGACTCTTCTCTTTTCGCAGACAACCGAGTAAATAGGCGATCAATAGAGAAAGAGACAATCTAGGTCATCATGCTCCTTTTATTTTATATCGCTTAGTCTTCTTTTCGTTTTATTCGTTAATTGATCAAGTGATCATCATTGAATAAAGTCATTTATCACTCACACTCTTATTATAACAATCATTATCTCAAGGACATGATTTTAGACACACGCCCATTTATTCTTACTGTCTAAATGAAGATATTGGACAGATCGTCAATTGTAAGAAGCACTTTAGCTTCTCTTGACAATCATTTCCTCCTTACATAAGCGCTCATACATATACGTATACATATATAAATGTATATGTGGTGGATGAAGTTCGAGTGATAATCGAAAACAATCCATACAAGCGCTTGCATTGACTGCTTGACATGTAATCGAAACAAATTCCAACACGTTCATTCCTCTCTTTCTTCTTTGTTAGCTTTCGATAATCATACGCGTGTGTATGTATGTATATATGTATGAACATCGAATCATTCTCATCCAAAGTTAATTCCTGGTGTCATGGACGTTACGTGATAGAGTGAGTATGTGTGCAAAGAGCTCAATCAAAACGGGAAGATATGATCTCGAAAGAAGAAGTCCTTCGTGTATGCAGATGAAAGGTACCGCATACTTATACGCATACACCAGACAAGATAACAAGTGGAGCAAAACAAAGAAAAGATTAATCAGTAGGAGATATTGAAAATAAACAATCGTCAACAAAGTAAAACAAAAAGAAATCTCTGATCTTCCTTGATTGTCCTTTCTTTTTTTTTTCTTACCTGTTGAACGCAGGCAAATCACAATGAATTTTTATTGATCGATTGTATCGTCATCATGAGAGTCATAATTTTTAAGTGAGACGAACATTTCCTCCCGTTTATTGTCGATTGCATCCTTCTTTTTACTTGTTCTACAATTTAAAACGTCGTTTTACGTCTCCTCCTCTCCTCTGTTTCTTCTCTCCCACTCATATGCATGTACGCATCTATATTGTGTTCATCACAATTACCTATTCGTTATACATATACATATATATATATATATATATATATATATATACATATATAGAACATACATACACACTGGAGATCAATAATCACGACGCAACTAAAAGAGATGGAATTACAGCTATTGTTCCAATAACATGTATATAAGGCCCACTCTTATGCAAGCCACCTCCTCCTTGTCGCACCTTTTTTTTTAAGTTATATTATACAATGATGACGAGAAGACTGATGCAGCCTAGCCGATAATCGGTATGTTTGTTTTATAATGAGTATAGTCACTGTTTCTCCATTTACATTTATACCCACCTACGGTGAGAACTGTCAGTATGTCTGAAGACATAAAGAATTCCCTTTTTTTCTTTGTATAACACCTCATTTGTTCCATCCATTTATTCATTCAATCTGTCTGTCTGATGTGTCAGTCAACTAAATGAGAATAAATTTTCGTATGCCATCATTCCTATCATGATATGTGTATTTCAATAAACACAAGTAAAACAACAAGTATGACAAGAAGAAGAAGAAGCAGAGGAGAAGAATAAATAAAAGATGACACAATGATAGCATTATCTATGTACAAATAATTGACATTATACACATATATAAAAATAGACAAATAAAAGAAGATAAGCTATAAATATAATTAACTAAGATCTTTCGGTGCAGCGTCAACAATACCTTCAGGTCCAATAGCAAAAACTGCATCAGTTTCAGGCAGACATGGACTATCTGCAACATGACATATGCGTGAATCGCCTTTGCCCTTTTTTAAATAGAGACTAAAAGAAAAATAAACGAGAGTGATTCATAAAATCAACTAAATCAAGAATAAAAATACCGTGTTGTTGATGCATGAGCCATAATATTGCCACCAATTGGCTTCTTTTGATCACCATACATTGCTTGACCATCAACTTGAGCAACAACTTGATTAGTAAGTACAACAGCAACCCCAAACTTGCAAAGAAAAACAAAAACCAATATTTCAATCAATCAATCAAATCAATAAGAAAGAATTCAATCAAACCTCATCGGTAATACGTAATAACATACGCATAAATTTTGCTAATTGCATTTGTCGATTAGCTAATTCACCACGACCAGAATAATCAGTTCGAAAAAGTGATGTTGAACTATCGACAATCAATACAGCATATCTATAAAATATACATGAATAGAATTTATCAGTAAAAACAAAAAAAAAGAAATATTTCTAAACCTTGATTCACACATCATAGCTGTTGCCATATACAATAATTGAATTTGATGATCAGTATTATAAGCACGAGCATAAGCAATATTATCCAAAACATCGTGACCTGAAAGGCCATATCGTTCAGCAATGGCCAGTAAACGTTCAGGTCGAAATGAACCTTCTGTATCGATATAAATTGCTTTGCCTTCACCACCACCCATATCAATGGGTAACTAAAAATGAAAGAAAAATTAAAAACACTTTTTCTTGAAAAACAAGAAATAATTCACTTGACAAGTAACAGCAACTTGATGACATAATTGACTTTTACCACAACGATATTCACCATACAATTCAGTTATTGAACCAGTTTCAAATCCACCTTGTAATTGTTTGTCAAGTTCTCGTGAACCAGTTGTTAATTGAATGATTTCGGAACGTTTTTGATGATATTCTGTGGCTGTTGTAAAACCCATCGGTACTAATTTTGCTGCTTCGGCCTAAACAATATAAGCTCGAGTTTTGTTTTCTTTTTCAGTTTTTCAATGATAAACTTACAGCTAATTTATCAGCTTTTGCATCACTAATACCTTTCACAGCCAAAAGAGTTTTTCTTGGCGCAAAAGCAATGGATTCAACTGTACAAAATCCAGCTTCTTGCAATTTTTTAATATCTGCAGTACCAACGCCACATGATTTGTCTAATTTTGTAATTGGTGTTGGTCCACTAGAATCGCAGTCAATCGCTACACTATCATTAACTTGAAGAGCAGTTCCAACAGTAACTGATGATTGATCTAATGTTGTTTCTTTTTCAACTATTGATTCTCGTGCTTTAGTTTTAGGTGGCATAGTCTGAAATCAAATGAATATTTTCACAAGACACGAATTCTATTTATATGATTAAAAAAAGTCCCTTAAACAATGACCAACGGTCGATTTCAAAAACGTTGAGTAACGATTTCCATCAGTATTCGTTTTGCTTAGTTCGCTCATTTTCAAAAGAATATATTTCATCGATTGAAAAATAATCTTCATTTCCATAAATAGAAATAGGATCATTAAAACGCGTGCTAAATTTCATTAAGAATCAAATAAAATCAATGATAGATGGCGTCAATTCTTCCATCATTATTAAGTATGATTCGTTCAATTCATCCAATATTTACCTGATGTAAAAGGTTTCTAACATTGATTATATAGAATTTTTACTGTTTAGCAACAAAATGACAGTTGCTATCTAAAGAGATCTTTTGTCAAATAGTTGAGGATTGATTTATTTTTTTCAGAACACTTCTACTCGATACTCAATAAAATTGGTGCATTATAAAGTACAACTCATACAAGAGTTCTCTTGTTTCAAGAAGTATCGCGGTTGAAGAATTACTTGATAACGATATTTTCATTCTTGACCTAGAATGTATATTGTAACTCAGTGTAGTGCCATAATATTTTTGAACGCATGAGCAACAGAAAAATTGATTCATACTAATCACATTCATAAGAAAAATGTTGTTATCAACTTTAGTTAGAAATATTTTCATATCCAAGTTTAATTAATTGTTTTTCTTTTTCTTTTAGATTTTACATTAATATCGTGTTTTTTCTTTCTTTTGAGTATAATTTATGAATGTTTATCACAAAGAATATGCTAAAATAGTTTACACCGGAAATATTGTAATTGAGCGGATGGAAGTAATTTCCTGTAATACTATTCGCGGCAACCATTATTTTTTATGAATGCTTGACAAAAAAAAACATTTTTAGAGATGTTTATAGAGTGGTTCTTATCTTAGCGTTTTTACTTGGTCACCCTTACAAAAACACGGACTAAAAAATTATTTATATACTTCCTTTTCAGATTATTATATTTCATTCGTGCTGTAATATAGAATTCAAGAAGCGAGAATTGAAAAGGTATACTTATCAGTCGAGACTAGAACAAGCTACATATAGTTTGAGGGGGGCAGGAATTTTTCGTTGTTTTCGTTTACTGAAATACTGTATTTTTCAAGTCAATGTTGTGATAACATTGAGAAAATCTGATTTAAATAAATTCATTTCTAAGAATCATATCGTAAGATACGAACTATGACAATTTTCGACACATTTGTTATATATTAGTTTCGTTAAATTCAGTCTTCATGCAAAGTTTTAATACGATATTCGAAAAAACCCTTTTTCTCCAATGTCACTACAAGGATCATGATATGAACGTAGTGAGCTCGTCACTTCAAAAATATTAAGCTATATGTTCGCATTATTTCCTCAAGATATGCATAATTTATATGAATCTATCAGATACATAAAACTTACCCTCAAAAGTGATTAATCAGTCAGACAACGTCCCATGTGAGGCTACTCTATCATGCCAAGGCTATTTTTATTTTATTTTATTATAATTATATTTTGCACACTATAAAATTAATCGAGGACGACTTTTTGTACTATTATTCATGCTAATGAAATAAATTCTAGCCTTTGCGATAGCTAATAATACTTTAATTTTTGTGAAAATTCAAGAGATTTTTATTGTTTTTAAAAAATCTTTTGATTAGTTTGGCAATAATTTGCTTGAGATATTTTTTCTTTCTTTTAGAAATGAGTTCTCCTCGAGTTTTCTTTGATGTTTATGCTGATAGTACGTCTCTTGGCCGTATTGTACTTGAATTATTTGATACTGAATGCCCAAAAACATGTGAAAATTTTCGAGCATTATGCACGATGGAAAAAGGTTACGGATATAAATCATCCATTTTACATCGTGTTATTCGTGGTTATTTTTGTCAAGGTAAAAAACAGATGATTAATTACTTATTCGTTTGAATATAATCTAATATTTTTAGGAGGCGATTTCACATCGTATGTATTGATTGTCATTTATATTTTTGTTTTTTTTATCTAATTTTATTTTAGATACAATGGAACAGGTGTATGTATATCTTTCGAATGAACAGAAGAAAAAAAATTTTCAGAATTGAATTTTCATTATTTACAGGGGAAATCAATCTACGGTAAAAAATTTGATGATGAAAGTTTCAATCGAAAATTTACTGTGCCAGGATTATTAGCAATGGCTAATCAAGGTATGCATCGAATATTGGTTTTCATTTTTCTTTTCAATGCTTATTTTGTCAAGGACCCAATACAAATACATCACAATTTTTCATTACTATGTTGCCATGCCCATGGTTAAACGGTAAAAATGTTGTGTTCGGTCAAGTGGTTGAAGGTATGGACGTGATCAAACAAATTGAAACATATGGGAGTGAAACAGGTGTACCGACGCGTCGTATTCTTGTTCAAGAGTGTGGTCTGGTGTGAAAAATATGAAGATCAATGGTAAATTCGATTTTTTTTTGGTTTTTGTTGCAGTGAATATCTTATCAGCACCGTCCATTTTTTTTATTTCGTCTTTTTTTTTATTTAAATATTTTACTCATATTTTATGTTTGTAAGTGTGATTTTAGAAACAAAAAATAATAAAAACTAGAGAATGATGATGTATTACAATTTTTTTGAAATTTTTTAATAATAAATGCTTATTAACATTTACTCAATGTAGAACGGAGAAATTGAGAGAAAGAACAGAAAATTGTTAGCTGAATAACCTTTGCTCGCTGGTTATTTTCCTATTCGCGATAGAAAAGTAAGTAAAAAAGTGCCCGCCGTGCAAGTTGGTTAGATTCTTTTTTTTCTTCTTTCCTATTTTTTTTCTCGACAAAAACTATAGCTAGCGAGTAGAGTGAACTGCTTATTTTATATTCTACAGATTTCATATACGTTGAGAATAAGTATGATCTTTTCCGGTTGGCTCTTATTGATTTGTTTTACCTTTGTCTATTCTCAAAGTATGTTCAATTTTCATCATTGTTGTGCAATTATCATTATATCTATATTTACAATAGATTGCTCGAATTATTATGGATGTCAATTAGAATTGTATGATCGACTTCTTTCAAAGTCGCGTTCATCTGTTCGTCCAGTACAGAATGCTTTGCAAAAGATCAATGTTCATCTTGGATTTTCATTAATCAGACTTGTGTCCATTGTAAATGACATTGTAATTCTATGCAAAAAAAGAATATGTTCTTTTTTGCTTTTATTTTAGAATGAACAAGATTCTTTAATAACAATTCGTGCATATTTAAATCAAGTAAATATAAAAACAAAACAATCTTATAAACTTATTTTTTTACTAATTCAATGCGCGATTCTAGACTTGGAATGCATCCGTACTCGCTTGGGATTCTACACAATATTCTAATGTTCAACATTTTCGTGTACCTGCACATGCAATTTGGACACCAAAAATAGAATTAATCAATCCGTATGATTACTTTTTTTTACAAAACACATTCTACTAGAAGTGTTGAAATATACATATATACATAGGAGTAAAAATTTGGACTAACACCTCGTTCTTACTGCTACAAGTCATGGCAAACGTGCTTAATACACGATCATAAGCGTTACAGGAATAATCACTTATTACAGGATATGAGCTAGTTCTTGAGGACCGTGTAAAAAAGTGATGAGGCAATGTTTTCCACAAAAGATATATAAAATAAACTGATCTTCCTGTGATTCATTGGAGCAGGAGCGGCTAAATAGTGTGCTACATTTTAATCGCATAGGAGTTATATCAGTAGGTTTTTCATTTCAATGATTTGTATATATTTATTTTCATATTTAGGAGTACCGTAATCGATTCTGAAGCAAATCATTTTATCGATGTTCATTCTGATGGGCACTTTGAATTATCATATTCAACTCTTTTGACAAGTCCATGCAATTTTGATCTGAAAAATTTTCCATTTGATCAACAAACATGTTCATTCAAAGTACTAAATAGAGTTAAAAAGTTGAATAAAACGATGAGACTTTGGAAAAAAATGTTTTAGATGGGTTCAGTACTTTATGGTGTAAATGAAGTAGTCATAACACAAGCGATTGATTTTGTTATTGATGAACCAAATTTAATGCCAAATGGTTATTATTTTGTATCGCATACAGTTGATCAAAAACCTGTCTTTTTTGCTGGTTTTGAAAGAAGCTATGATCAAATATCTATACAAATAACTATTCATCGTCGTTCAGAGTATTTTATTTACCTTATTAATTGGCCTGGTACATGTCTTATGATGTTAACATTGACACTCTTTTGTCTTCCACCATGTGCCTTTGAAAGGCTTTGTTATGGTAATGAAAATTTGTATAATAAAACTAGATCATATATTCTTTTTTTCTATCCCATTCAGGTGCCTTATTGCTCGTTTGCCAATTTATTTTGTTAATGGTCTTTGTTTTTCATCTCCCTAAACGACTGGGAACATCGTGGCCATTGATGGGGCATGCCATTTTTTATGATATTATGTTGACTGCATTCGTATTAGTATGTTCAGTTATCACACGAATGATTTCCGATGGAAATACTTATTCAACAGAAAAACCACCAAACAAAATGCGTAGTGTACGCATCTAGAAATAATATTAAGATTTTCAAATAAGATTTGTTTTAATTTTAGATGTTTTTTGGTTATTTAGCAAAATTAGTTGGCTTGAAACGAGCTGCATATGCAATACTAGTTACAAACCGTGAAAAGTATGTTTCCTATAAGTTTATTTTGTATGAAAAATCTATTCATATGTTTATATAGTGAATATGATTCAAACGATTTAACAAACAATGATTCTGCTATGGAACCGTTGACATCAGTTTCAAATGGTGCAACAGCAACAACATCTGATCATCTGATTTCATCATCAAATACAATAACTCGTGATATTACTTCAATAAAACAAAAGTTGAATGTATTTATTAATGAACATAATATTCAACAGGAATGGATTCTTCTTGCTCATATTATCAATCGTTTCTGCTTAAGTGTTTTCCTAGGTTTCTTTACATTGTCGATTGCGCACCATTTATTTCGTATATAATAAAACTAATTTCATAGAAAGTTACTTCTATCACATTTATTTCTTTTTTGCACTTATTAAGCAATATAAAATATTTACTTCAATGGATCAGTACTCTCTTTGTCGTAACGCATGATTTACTTGTCTATTTATTTCGTTTCTTTTTTTTATTCCTTTTTTTACCTTTTACACACGTGCAATGTTGTCAATGGATCGAAGTATGTGATATCAAAATAAGCATAAAAAATAGTTTATGCTTGCGAGTGATCAAGAGACATAATCAACGACAAGAATCAGCGACAATCAGGGTAAGTTTAACCCATTGTAATTTTTAGATAAAATTATCAAATTTTATTAAAATAGATTTTCCATTTAGTAATTATTTATAATGGGTTGTACTGGATCAACGGAGAAGAAAAAACGTAAAAACACAACACTAACAAGCTCTGATGATTCATTCGGATTACACAATCGAGATGTCGACGAAATCAAAGTAGAGCTTTCTGATGCCACTATTAGTACGTTATTAGATGAAACAAAATTTACACAAGAAGAAATCATTGATTGGTGGCATGGATTTCTAGCGGATTGTCCATCAGGTCTATTGGATAAAGATAAATTTATTGACGTTTATCAATATAAATATCCAAGTGGAAAAGCAAAAGGATTTTGTGATCATGTTTTTCGAACATTTAATCCAGACAAACGAACTCGTGCTATCGATTTCGAACGATTTATGTGCGCCATAAATGTGACTTTAAAGGGTACATCAGATGAGAAACTTAACTGGGCATTTACAATGTATGATATCAATGGTGATCAACGTATATCGAAAAAAGAAATGTTAAATGTACTGGAGGCAATGCTTGATTTATTAGGAAAAGATAAGAAAGGTCCAAACAATCCGCAAAAACAAGTCGATAGAATATTTTTACGAATTGACTCGAATCATGATAATTATATTAGCAAAGAAGAATTTTTCTCAGGCTGTAGAGCGGATGAAAATATTCGAGCAATCCTTGCACCATATTATTAATAGTGTTGTTATTTTCGTTAACAGTTGAATTTTATGCATAACAAAAAGAATATGAATTCTTTGTATGAACAGTATTGTTTTTTTGGTTTCCTTTCATTTTTTTTGTGAAAAAATGAAAATTAAAGGACGGAAAAGAGTAAATGCTTGTTCTTTTTCTTTTTGAATTATTTTATAAATTAGTTTTAATTTAAAATAAAGGTTACTGTAGACAAATTCGAGAATTACATCTGCTTATCATGTACGTTTAGGTATTTCGACAATTATAGAAGTAGTCATTGTGTGAAAAATTAGCATTTCATTTGAAAAGTATATTTATCAATGTTTAGTAAAGCTACCAAAAAAAATAGATAAATGTCGTCTCTTGCCTATAAAATATGTATTCAAGATTTATATTTATAAATAGAACATTGTTGACAGTTTGCGTCCGCTAATCTCACATATCAACCAAATTTTTATTATTAACATGGAGAAAAATATTATTGGAGAGTATTTGTGCTTAGAAGTACTTGACTTTCGATAAAGTTTTAGTAATAGTTGAGTGACTAGGCGCTGCTAGTAGCGGACAAGCAAGCATGAATCGTAGTAGATTTATTTCGGTATATTTTTTTTCTTGAATAAAACAAAAGTTCAGTTGAGAATAACACATCGAGTGATGTAGCTAGTACAATAAAAAATATAGACAGCACTAGCAGTGATATTTAGTTTCCTACGAATTTTTGAATTCCTAAAACTGAATTTATCAGCCTTGAAAAACAGTTGATCAATGATGTTAGAGTACCGATGTCAACAGAAATCTCTTTGGAATCATTAGAAACATGATTTATTGAAATTAGTTTTTGTAATTAATTTGAATGTTGTTAACTCACACGTTTGGTTTCTTTGTTCTTATAGCAAATAATCAAAAGCTAAAAGTACTCCCATTTAAGAGGCAATGATGTGAGACTAATATTTTGATTAGAACCCACTGTTTAATTTACTGATGTTTTGATATTGAAAATGTTTCTTTAAATTTTAACTATAATTTATTCGATCTTATCATTGATATTGAGAAAAACAGTCACAAGCATAGCGAGGAATAGCAGAAGGAAATGTCATGGTATAAATGAGTGCCTTTTTCTTGTGTGATGCTCTAGTTTTTCTTTTATATAAACTTGCATCTCCTAGTGATTTTCTCTCATCAACTTTCTATAGTTGTGTATACAATTTGAATTTATACGATTCCTATACTATACGAAGTGAACGTTTGATTGTTTAATACCATAAAAAGCTCAATGCTTACTTCATCGTCAATAAAATTGTATTAGATCACAGTTTTAAAATTTGATATGTATTTATTAATTGCTATATCTGATTTATGCTTCACTATAAAACCGTAAGTCCCACTTTTTACCAAATGCACTATTAAATAAGCAAAATAATCGGGATCATCAATGAAAACTTCTATACAATGCTATTATTTTATATCGAATATATTTTTCAATATGAACAACTCATCTCTTTTGAACAACTTCAAATTCTGTCTAGAAATTTCTGAATACGAAAAAGTATCAATTTGGCGATATTCCGTTTCATGAACTCGATCTTGTTAATACAGTGATCTTTTATAGAATTTCGATTCCACATTTCGTATGATATACAAACATAGAAAATTATTTCTTTGCATCCGTTCGATGTGCATATATATTGCGGAGTTCAATGTACGCACATGCCGATTAGATCAGATCTTTTCAATAGAACAGCAAGTCATTCAATACTGCAGAGATTAGAATTAGATGTTTAAGAAATTTGGGCCATTCAGTAAATAGCTGCTAGTTCGAAGCCAGAAAAGAATCACTTGATAGTTACTTGGCTATTTTAACTTGAAAGTCACTGTAACAACAATGTATAGTGAAAATCGTACAGTATATATTCAATTTAATCTATTATGATCAAAGGTAAAAGAATAAATTAGTCTGTAAATTCATTCGCAATGATTCTTTTATAATCAATTCTATTTCTATGTATAAACCATGTACACAGGAGAATACGTTATTTTGGCATACAAATGATGAGCATTTATATCATTTCATATCTAATCAAGCTCAATAGAACTGAATAAAGTTTTCCTCGCATTGTTTATCGAAAGATAGATTGAAATTATAAGAAATCTTTAAAAAGATCGCTGAAGACCTTACTAGCAAATTAAGCATGTTTTCATTTTGAATATCAGTACATGTCAATTTTTTCTTTGCTGAATTCAGTTATTACAATCGTCACAATAATTGAAATTAAAGAATTGCATTTTTGGAATGTGACTTACACGAACAATTAGAATTATTGATGAAAATATTAACTCTAATCAATGTTCCTAGTTCGCAGTAACTATGAAATTTTCATCGCAAGATCATAATCATCGTATGTATACATGCATATAGCTGAATTATATACTTACTGAAAGGAAATGGCAAAACTAATCCAACTAGGTCGAACACTAATAGGGGTCAGTTACTGGAATAAGATCAGATTTAGATTGAATGCAATGCAATGCAAACTATCTGTTTCATAAAACAGTTAATCAGAATGAGAATGATCCAGCTGCTTTTCAAGTGTTTTAAAGAAAAACAAAAGATAAGATTTTTCACACAAAAATTAAACCGTGTAAGTAATATTTCTTGTTGTGGAACAAATATTAGCGAAGGATAGATTCTTATGAAATATCCGTTTTCAATGATTTATGTTGCACTATTCGGCAAACCATAATTAGTGTTTCGAATGATACTAGAAAATAAGATCCAAATGATGTTACATTCATTTGTCGTTATTTAGATTAACACTCGACGAGTAGAGATCTGAATTAATATTTGGTTATTTTTCGTAATTGCTATCATTGCGGCATATTTTCTCATAAAATAGAACTGTTTCGTAACAATTGTTGATAATCTGACGACAAGAAAAAAAAAGCATAGAGAATATCTAAGAAACTTTTAAATGATAGAATTATATTCAAGGACGTTGTAAAGGAAGATTTCCACACGAACTAATTTACTATGTCAATGAGATTTAAGAAGGCTTTTAAAAAAATATTTGCCATATTTCATTTTAAAGGAGATAAGAAAAATTGTATATTTGAATAAAAGATGCATAGATTTTTTCTGATCTGTTATTGTCAGATTATACTAATGAAAATTAAATATCTTAGCTAAAAAATGAAGTTCTTGCTTTCTCTGAATAGAAATTCATCAAAAAAAAAGTAATTTCAACAAACGACTCAATCTACATTGATTTCAAGTTTTTTAATATTTTCTCTTCTTTTCGCTCACATCGTACTTGTACGGGCTTAGATGAAAGGATTGTTGCCACACAAAACAACCATTCTAAAGCACCAGATAAAAAACCAGACAAAAGAAAACTTTAAAATAATTATCCAAATATAATTCAAATATCTCTCTTGTATTTAATTGCTGATGAATAAATAAAAGACTTATTGGAAAACAGGATTTCGTCACAGGAATTTGTCGTTCTTTTTTCGACTCGCTCTTTTTATGTATGCATCTTGTGCCGTTGCCTTCTGTTGCATACATGTAAATAGTAGAGCAATAAAACTTCATTTAGTAAATTTGAAGGCTGTCTATTTTTCTTTGACTTTTTCAAGTTCTATGTAAGAGATAATGTCTTACTACTACAAATCATTCTTATGTTATGATTATACAATGATGTTGAGTATACCCATCAGACTAGAAGCAATAGGTTGGTGTTCTTTTGATCTACACTTTAGAGGTATCTGCAAAATTCAGGTTTTTCATTTGAATATTATACTAATTCAATGCGTCATAACCAATAGAACTATTCCTTTAAGGCGTATTTCTCTTTTCTTGCATTCATTGAACCTCTGTTTTAAGAGAAACAACTTTTTAGCTACAATTTTCAATCTACTTATTTGTTAAACATAATGCAAACTCCTCGAATATTGTCAAACAGCAGCAATAATACATCGCTAAATCGTGAAAGCGAACAAGACATGTTCGTTACCTATTATCCACTTGCTCTTGTTGTTTCTGGAAGTTTATTTAATCTTGTTACTTTTGGCATTCTCTGGCGACCAGCTTTTAGAGACACACGCAAACGACCAACCATTCACTATATGCGTACAATAGCGATCTTTGATATTCTCATGTTATATGGTTGGAATTTCGATCACTTTCTTTATGGAGCATATGGATTTACTCTTAGTGGATACTCANATGTTCGTTACCTATTATCCACTTGCTCTTGTTGTTTCTGGAAGTTTATTTAATCTTGTTACTTTTGGCATTCTCTGGCGACCAGCTTTTAGAGACACACGCAAACGACCAACCATTCACTATATGCGTACAATAGCGATCTTTGATATTCTCATGTTATATGGTTGGAATTTCGATCACTTTCTTTATGGAGCATATGGATTTACTCTTAGTGGATACTCAGTACCATTCTGTAAGATTTTCTCGTTTTGGAATTACTTTACATGTCAAGTTTCTGCTTGGCTGCGTGTCTTCATTTGTCTCGATCGATATTTATCATTAAGTTATCTTCATAAAACATGGTTTAGCCAATCAAAAAATGTTCTTACTATTATTGCCTGTATCGTTTCAGTCTTTACCATCATTAATTTTCACTTGTTTATATTCGCCTGTTATAATAATCCAGATGGTACACTCAATAAGGGGTCTTACGTCTACCGTGTATATCCATTATGGGATTATTTAAATCTCGCTCTTTACAACTGTGTACCATTTATTTTTATGTTTATATTCAATAGTGGTGTCATTTATCATTTATTTCGTATTCATCAGAATAGTTTAGTTCAAAATTCTCGAATTCAACATCGTTCTATATCAATAACATTAGTCATCACAACATTTTTGTTTGTAATAATGACTGTACCAGCAACTATATTTTATGCATTTTTTTTCCAAACTTCGAGTTACTTTATCCTACACTTTTTCGATTCGATTCTTTACACATATCATGTACTATCATTCTTTCTATACTTTATTACATTTCCGGAATTTCGACGAGAAACTCTAAAATTGGCAATATGTAATAAATGGCGCAACACTCAATCCCTATCAACTGTTACGAAATTTTCCACTGCTCCAGCGCAACTGGACGAAATATGATGTGTGAATTATTGAATATTTTTGTCCAAGATAATTGAAAATTTTAATAGGAATGAACTCGAACGATCTAGGAATAACTTGTAATATTAAATAATTGTCTAATTATAAAATTGTTTTACGCGCTTTTAAATTAGCTATTGCTTTTTTGAACTTTAAATATCATAAAAATATGCATTTTATTCGAATATAACCCGGATCGACATGAAAATTAAATTTATTTTAGAAGATTTTGTAGAATGTGAAATTCTTACAAAGTATTAATTGAATTGTCTAGAGGCAAGATGATTTATAGCAAAAACTAATATTTATAATAAATAGTTTTAGTAAAAGCGTCATGATTATGCTAAAATTCTTCAGAGAATATAAAAGTATTCCAATGAACTCATGAGCATTTCAACTATACATTTTTGCAAAGAATAATTGTAGTATATTCTTTGATCCTTACTTGATTTCCAAAGCAAGAAATCATTTGTTTTGCATTTTATGTGTGAATTGCATATTTGTACTTACTAGTTTGGTTTATTTACATAATTGACTAAAAAACGAAAAACAAATATATGGTGAACTCCAATCTGTGGAAAATATCACACGTGCATCAAGATAATATCTTTGGCAATTTTCCTGATTTAGAGAGCAGCTTGACGAATTCTTTGAATCACCCTCATTCGTCAATGGCTTCAAAAAAACAGAATTGTTTGATGTGTTAGATAATAATTAACGATTTTCTCAATTTTTGAAAAGGATTATTCGAAAAGCTGCAATAAACACGAATGGATGGTATGCCATATTCTCACTTTCATCATCGATGGAATAGAGTTTTTTGTATTCATTCCAAGTATATTCATAAGTATAGAAAATATTGCTTTGTTGTGGAAAATATACTGAGCACATTTGACATCCTCTAAAACGTTGACAGGAAGTTACCAGCGACTTTAGACTCAAAACTCAAATCTTCCATGACCATGAGAAAATTGTTCGAAATTTAATTGGCTAGAAGAAAATAGCATCTAATAATGTTTTGTATGATAGTTAAGATGAAGTAAATGTTTAAAAACGTTCAAAGAATGTTTGACTTTAAAACTCTATTGTCTCAGTTAGTAGATCCTATGAACTCATACAAGAAAAAACACCAATATCATTGGTATTATAAAACAGAGAAACTTTCTACCGACGAGCGAACGCCCTCAATAGATGCTTTAAATATTAGCAAGAGAATTGATATATTCATATACAGGTCTTTATGGCATGGCATTAATATAGAATACTGTTTGAGATAAATATGTATCTATTGTAAAATATTTTTTGTGAAATTTAATTACGAAATAATATTGCATTCTAAACCCCCCTACAGAATAGAAGCCCATGGGTGGTGTCTCTGTTCCGCAAGCTATAATTTTGTAACAAAGCATGTCCTGATGCCAGTTTTTGCGTTATTTGTTAGAGAAATGTTCATCCTTTCATTTTTCATCGGTTTTACTTCATGAAAAATGAACTAAAACCGATGAAAAATGAAGAAATCTAACCCAGGGGTCGGCTTCTATTCTGTGTAGGGGTTTAGACAAGAGAATTTACACAGTTCTAGTAGCATGTCTTATGCATTATTTCTCGTGTCTATTCATCTCTCCCGAGCTACTTGATGAATTGACGTTAATACTCTTTTACAACAAAATACAAGTTAAGAAGAAATCTTCATTGACGAACTACAGATGATACTATTAAAAACCTATAGTTAAAAAGTATATTACTTCGAACGCTTTTATATAGAAATCTTCTTGAAACTTCGTTAGCAATTACTTTATTAAATAAAAACTATTTTAGATAGAGTTTATATTTACACATGAGAATGATATTTTATGTCAAATGCATTTATTATTCGAAACCTGTTGATGATAAACATATGAAAGACAAGTTTGTTTTTCGTGAAATATTACTAATTGTCAAAGTATACAGCACGAATCGAGTCGACTCTACTATTCGAAATCATGATGATCGTAGTAGAATTAAACAAGAAAGATAATTCTATATTTCAAATATTTATATTTTACTTCTCCTTTGTATGATTTGAATCGTTCTTTTATTAATAATTTTGGTTGGTTATCATTTCCCACGAATTGAAATCCACAGATACATCTATACATCATATTCACACTTGTGGTAAATAAAACAAATATGACCCATTCTGGTGACCAAATAGGGATTTTAATTTAGGGACTTTTTCAATTTAGGGACTTTTTTTTATACTATATCCTGTTCAAGTCACAATCGAACAGGGTCCCAGCTAGGGGTTCATCAGTACCAGTATACTAGGTACTGATAAAACTGGTGACCAGAATCAACTCTCCGAATGTCTGATAAGCAGAATTACGTTTCGAAATGATTCTAATGAAAATTGAGTATGTACGATTCTGGTGACCAATATTCACTGGACAAGTAGGCTAGTATAATACTGATTCTGATGCATCCCTAGTCTCAGCATTCATATCATTCTGTACTTATGTTTCATATTACCCTTAACTGAAGACCTCTTATTCATTAGCTTTACAACCGAGATCTCATTCAAATATAACGCATATTGACACGGTATCTGGTCACCAGATTCAAAACATAATACATATATTCAGTATCTTATGCTTTTTTTTGTCATCGTATCTTGTTAACGTGTCTAGTCATTGTAATCTATTTAGAAATGAAATCTGATATTCTCCTTTAAAATGGAATATTGACAAGAATATTGATCCAATCTACTCGAGATTAGGCAGTGCGACAAAAATAAGCAAATCCTTCACTGTGAGAGCACAGTTAATTTTAAATATACGCTCTACGGCTATGTCTTGATCTTATTCTCGCGGTTAGACACAAAGATTTTATTATGAGATTGAGATAAAAGTATTTTGCTTGTTTGGAAAGTTCATTGTAACTTTTATTTACAATATCCACATTTGAAAGTTTACTCAATATTTAAAACAATGACTGATCATAGAACTACCAAAAAACTGCAGCACAAAGAAAGAAAGAAACTCATACTATGAAAAAAAGTCTTTTAACGTAGAAAAAACAAAGTCATCAGTTTCATATAACAAAAAGTATCATAAGAAGCAAAATATCAAAACAACATAGAGAAATAAAAAATTAACAAAGCCTGTATGTATATTCTGGTGACTAGAATCAGCTCTAAGAGTTTCTGATAAGGAAAATGACGTTTCGAAATGATTCTAACAAAAATTGAATATGTCCGATTCTGGTAACTAGAATCAACTCTCCGTGTTTCTGATAAGCAAAATTACCTTTTGAAATGATTCTAATGAAAATTGAATAGGTATGATTCTGGTAACCACAATAAGCTCTAAGAGTATATGTGGGTAAATATAGAAAAGGAATACAAGACGATTCTGGTGACTAGAACGTACTTATCTATACTGTGGTTATAGCGCCAAAGTATTTAGTTTCAATGGTAAAAGATTTTCGGTAGAAGATGGTGTTGAATTATGGTTTATAAGTCATGTCGTACATTGAAAAAAAATCCCTAAATTGAAAAATCCCTAAATCAAAAATCCCTATCTGGTCACCAGAATGGGCCATATTTGCTTTATTTACCACAAGTGTGGATATGATGTATAGATGTATCTGTGGATTTCAATTTGTGGTAAATGATAGTCATTCGAAAAATAGAAATTTTGTTTTTCTTCTTATGTCAAAGTCGTTCGCACTTCAAAAATCATATTTGTCATCAATTTAGTAAATGAATTTGTCAGTAAAAGTTCCTAAAAATTAATTTCTTGCTGCTCCCATTCACTTTTTTCCTCTGTTATAATACCACTGAAATCTATTTAAAAAATCAACATCTTCATCAGCATCAACTAAACTGACATTACCACATTACGCCACCAAAATGCAGTTCATTATGACTATTTTCAACCATAATCATACATCAAATGTAGATATTAATCATAGACAAAAATTCGTTAGTTATTATCCATTGGCTCTTATTATTTTTGGCACAGCTTTGAATCTTTTGAACTTCAGTATTCTCTGTCGACCAGCTTTTAGAGACACACACAAACGACCAACCATTCACTATATGCGTACAATAGCGATCTTTGATATTCTCATGTTATATGGTTGGAATTTCGATCACTTTCTTTATGGAGCATATGGATTTACTCTTAGTGGATACTCAGTACCATTCTGTAAGATTTTCTCGTTTCGGAATTACTTTACATGCCAAGTTTCCGCTTGGCTGCGTGTCTTCATTTGTCTCGATCGATATTTATCCTTAAGTTATCTTCATAAAACATGGTTTAGCCAATCCAAAAATGTTATCACTATCATTATGTGTATCATTACAATTGCCACTATCATTAGTATTCATATTTTACTATTTGCTTGCCATTACAATATAGATGGTTCAATCAATTGTCAAGCACGCCTCTACGAGATATATCCAATATGGGATTATATGCATTTGGCTCTTTACAATGGTGTTTCATTTATCATGTTACTCGTATTCGTCGAAATAGTACAATTCAAAAATCTCGAATTCAACATCGTTCTATGCCAATAACATCCGTTGTTACAACAGTTCTCTTTTTAATAATGACCATGCCAGCTACACTTTGTCTTGCACTCTTTTTTCGAACGATGAGCTATTTTATTCTGCTTCTATTCGATTCAATTCTCTATACATATCATGTATTATCATCATTTATCATATACATAACTACATTTAACGAATTTCGAAAGGAAGCTTTTGTATTGTTTATTCCTGATAGGTGGTACAATGTGCAACCAGCAGTGTTTCGATTAACAGAAGCAAGAAACGTAGGAAAATGAAATTTTTGTTGATAATTACCGTTTGTATGTATACTATATAGGATATTAGCTTTAAAAAAAAATGCTTTCTTTCTGTGTATATTCAATTTTTTGTTTCATCGGATATTCTCTTTTAAGAATAAAAATTTGTTATTAATTGATTGTCTTTTGTTCTATTCGTGTTCGTTTTTGTTGTAAATAACATGCATTAAATACAGAAGAAAACATAAGAGAATAAGACAAAAAGGACAAGAAAAGCCGATTACACACTTTCAAAGCGATTCGATATTCATATGTATATTCCATAAACAGAGACGAAAAGTCTTGAATGAAAACAACGGTAGACAAGTAAGAAGAAAGAAACAGAAAGAATATTGCGAGTGATAAATTACGCATATATGAATTTGTATATATAATGGTAATAAGAATAAGAATAAGAATAATATTGTACATATAGATTAAACATTGCCTTCTACAGTCATAATTAATGGATTAACATATTCAAAGCCTTCAAATTCCGATTGCTGTATTCGTGCTAAAACTTCATCGTCTTCAGGTGTTAAAACAACGTCTTCATTCGTAAATTGTGGATCGAAATGAGAAAGATCTTTATCTTCGGTTAAAATCGGTTTATAGGGTGGCACAATTTGTCTTGATTCTAATCGTTGCCAATCAATAGCTGGATAAAAGAATGGATGTAAACATATATCTTGAAAGCCAGCTTGACAACCTAATATTGGATCGTAACGACAACCTAAACGTGATCGTGGATCTTTGTTAAGAAAACCTTCTAAAACATTTTTAGCTTTAACAGTTAATGAACGCGGAATACGTATTGATTGTTCAAGTATAACTTGAAATAGACGATCTTCTGTATTTAAATCGGGATTTTCAGCTGAACCAACTATTTCAAAAGGTGATCGGCCAGCCATCATTTCAAACATCAGTACACCTATATGAAATAAAATCTAGGTCATTAACCTGTATAAATAAATATCCTTATTTACCCAATGCCCACCAATCAACACTAAAATTATAATCATGATTTCTTAACATTTCCGGTGCTAAATAATTTGGTGTACCACAAAATGTGCTTGTTCGTTCATCACGTTTAAAATCTAAACCTTCCTTACACATTCCATAATCAGTTAATTTAATATGGCCATCGGCATCAAGTAAAACATTATCTAATTTTAAATCACGATAAATAACACCATGTTCATGTAAAAAATGTAAAGCAACTGTTATTTCGGCTGCATAGAATCTAAATAGAAATTAGAAAAAACAAAACTATTTTCTTAGATTATTATCTTTTTTATATTTAACCTAGCACTTGATTCAGGAAGTTTTCTTTGTCGTTGCATATGATACATTAAATCACCGCCAGTTACAAATTCAATAACAAAAAACAATCTTGATGGTGTTTGAAAGCAGGAATGTAAACCGACAAGAAATGGATGATTTGTTGCTTTTTCAAAAACATTTTTCTCACATTGAATCCAATCAATATCTTCATCATCATTAACAATAGATTTTTTAATGACTTTCATTGCGTATAAACGTGGTGGCTGATTATTATTTGGATTATTACGTGAATGTCGTGGACGGTATTCAGCTAAAAAGACTTTGGCATAGGAACCACGTCCAATTACTTTTAATAATTCAAAATCTTGTAAACTTATTGTCGGAGACCCAGATGAAGAACCGTGCATATCTCCACCTACATCGATATAATTGCTATTTGTACCATGTGGATCATCCATAGGCGAATGACCAAGATCAGCAAGACCTACATAGAAATAAATACATTCATTTTATTGACAGTGACATAGCGCTCAACTCTATTATATTAAAATTACTGGATTTCAGATAAGAGATATTTTTCTCAGGGTCAAGAATTGAATTATTTAATTGTTAAAAGAAACTTCCTATAAAATATTTAATTTTCTTATTAATAGAGAGAGAATTTCTAGGTTTACAATACTTGTCTACTTTTCAAAGAACTCAAAATGTGAGTATTCGAATATATATGAGTCAAACAAACGATACATTTTTCTATTGCCTACTATAAAGTTCCTAACTTTCGAGATCTAAATGTGTGAGTTCAACAGTGTGCTACAACACAAATTCAAAAATATTAACACTCGCTATGTCTTCATATACGTATATATATATATATATATATAGTCCAATGTATTCAAATTCCTCGCATTTATAATATCAATTATGTATGATTGGCAATACCTTGTGCTCGTTTTAATGGTCCAGGTTCACAAATATTTGACATTTTTTGTTTAGTCATCGGATCTCGAGCGTTCATAACACTAGCACCACTTGGCCTATGTCGACCAATTTTATCTATTGTTCCATTTTGTTGTTGATTTTCATTTGGTTTTTTATTTGACATTGATTGTTGTCCATTTGTTATACTACTTCCTGATGCGTGCCGTCCATTAGAATCCATTATTTTAGGATGATAAGGAGATGAACCTGTTGGTGTTATACCACATACAATACGTAAAAGTTTTACACATCGTTTATGTACAAGAACCTTTTTGAAATATAAAAAAAAATAAAGTAAAATATTTTTCTTGTTTTCTTTCTTTAATTTTATATTTAACATACTCGACAATCAAGGCATTTATAACCTTGTCTACCTAATCCCCATAAACGATCGTTACAAACAGTACACGCAGCTGTTGTACTAAATCTTTTCGCTTGATAACGATGTCCATTAATTAAATAAAGTTTTTTCCAACGACGTGCACCACGTCGATATATAAGTGGGTCTTCGCCTGGACATAGTAGTCCTGCTTGTTCAGGACGACTAGGAAAAACATGTATATGCAAATCTTTATCACCATTTTTAGTATATAATCGTATAGCTGTATTTAATTCTCGTTGTGATGACATTGTTATAGCATCTAATGCTTCGTCGAGCCATTTAACAGTAAATGACGGCGGATCAGTCACTGTTAAATGACATATTGAACATAAATGATTGTAAAATGATTCTAATGTTAAATTATGTGGTAAATAAATAACCGTTGCTTGTTGCTGATAATGTATTAAAAATTTAACTGTTGTTATATTATCATTAGTATAGTCGTTGGTCATCAATGATGACGAAGAAGCTATTGTTGACATCACAGTTTATATAAATAGCATTATGGAATGTATATCTAAAATTCTATTAAAAAATCAAATGCCTAAGTTTCCTGAGATAATTTTCTCTTTTAAAAAACATATGTTTAAGAACACAACAGAAAAATAAAATAAATGATGACTAATTTTCGTAACTGTACAATAATCGATGGCTATACAGAGATATATACATATACATATACACATAAAAGATAAAACATATACGGTAAAGTAATAAACTTATTCATGAACAGTACGTTGATTAAGATTAGGATGAAGAGGTTTTATCGTAGAAGCCTTACGTGATAAACCAACCCGTGATGCTTGAACTGACGGAATAATTATTTTACTTGTAGGAAAACCTACGGGTGCGTTAGGTTTCTTGTTTGAAAGATCAATTGTTGAAACTAAAACAATGAGAAATGTAGACGAATTAATGGCATTGGCGATATCTCAGCGTTTCCCAAAAGATTTCAAAATTTATCATACTCATTTTGAACAGAAGTAAATTATTTTAATTAGCTTGTTAATTGATAGTTTTGTAGCGATTCAATTGAAGAGAAAAACTTGTTTTTAGTTCTATATAAGTTTAGCGAGAATGTTTAAAATGTATTCCAAGAAAAATTTGGTGTTTGTCTATGTGAATCAATGAAAAAACCTCGAAGACTATTAAAATTACTAATTGATCATGATAACAAGCAAATGTGCGAACGTCGATAGTTCGGTATGCTTCTAAAGAAATGTTGTTCTGACCGAAAAATATAAGGTAAGAAGGTAGAAAAGAATCCATAAAATAGTACATTAGTATATTGCTACAGTTTACCGTCAATAGTAAAAGCAATAGACCTCGAAACTTGCTATTTACTTAATATTACGCAGATAAAATAATTTACTCTGACTGAATGCAAAAAAAGAAGAAATCCAAAAATCGTTTTCGAACACTTTATTAGCTAAATATTTACCTGGAGCTTTTTGTTGGTCTCGTGTCATTGATCGAGATAAGTTCTGTTCAATTGATTTTACTGTTGGCATTTCTTTACGATAGAATGAATAAATAAGTATTTATAATTTACGTATTTTTTTAATTATTATTCATCGATCTACCTGCATCCTTTTTGGTCGCTTCTATTTTACGAGTCACTCGTTTCTGTGGTTCTGTTTTTTCTTCTTCTTCTTCTTCTTCGTTTTCGTCTTCTACTTCTTCTTCCTCTTCATTTTCAGATTGTTTTTCATCAATATTCTCTTCTACAATAACATTGTTTATTAGTTATAAAGAAAAATCGTATTTTTTTACCGTCTTCTTCTACTTTCATTCGTTTTGTTTTCGGCAATGAATTTTCTTCGTATGCATCAATTTCTTTACTTGTTGTTTTTTTATTTTCTTAAATAACAATAGAATTCTAATATTTTTTCTCTGTAGAAAAAAAAATACTTTACTCTTACTCTTACTTGATACTGTTGATGTATTACTTATATTCTCATTGACATCGTCCATAATCGGAATTTCAATAGATACTTCTTTCATTTGTACGATTTCGTTCGAAAGTTTGAGTGCTAAATCAAGTTCTTCTTGTTCAGTTTTTGATAATCTAATTACAGATAAAGTATTAAAGGCTTTTTTTAAAAGATATGCAATGAACAAACTTTTCTTTTCGTTTTCGTGTTGTTTGTCGACTTGAAGAATTTGATTCTGTAGGTTGATCATTTGATTTAGTACTACGCGTTTTTTTACTAATTTCTCCAGCTGAAATAAAATCTGTATGTAGAAAAAAAACGAATTTGAAAAATATGTTATATTAAAAAATATAGACCATCATCATCATTTTGATCCTTGTAAGATGCTGTTTTTTTTGCACTAAAATTGAAATAAATAGAAAAAAATAAAACAGACAATAAGATATTTACCGTTTCCCACCGGGCATTTTTATCACAAGTATTTAAAACGAAATAAATAGTGTATAATCTGAATAATATAGAATTATGTTTATAATTGAATAATATAAATCAACTAGCAGAAAAAATGTTTTAGTTTTATATTCATCGAAGGTCTAGAGTCGTTCCAACGTATAGTCAGTCTATAGGTTTATTTATTTCTATGATAAACACAATAATATAAAAGCTACGGAAGAAAACTTTTTTTTTATGCAATCATAAAAATGCTTGCTATAACTCATTGATCTTTATCAGATCAATTCCATTTTAGGCAAATTTTTCTTCAATAAATCTTAATCTAAAACAAACAAACGTAAACATCTTCTATAGAACAAAGAATAAAACGTGATTTATACATGCACTGTTAATTTAAAAGAAAAACATTTGTAGCATTTATACATAAATTATTTTTATATCTTATTTTCTCTTTAATAATAATACAGAAAAAACAAAATGATCAGTGCAAGTAACGATTTGTATTCATCTAAAATTATCTTCTAACGATATCCACTGCCATGAATATATTGATCGGATGTCAAATGAGATGTCGATTGAGACAATTGCATTAATTCATGAAATTTCTCTGCTTTGATTTTTAATTCATGAGCTCGTTTACGATTTTCAATAAAACGGCGTTCAAATTCGGTTACTTCATTTTCAGTTTTTTCACCAGTGAAAAAAGTTTCGGCTGTTTCCTAAAAACAAAATATACATTCTTTTGTTCAAATATACGGAACAAACACTTGAAAAAAACAATAGTTCTATGATAGAGTTTGATAAGTATAGGATTACATTAGCGGTAGTATTGAATCAACTCCTTAAAAAAAAACAGTACAATCGAACTAATCTTCATTTACATCATAACTCATATTGAATAAAAAAGAAAGAAAAAGAAAATCGTTGATAGAAACCGAAGTAAATGATAGAATATTTCAAAAACTTATCATTGGAATTTTTATATCTAATCAATCGATTCTGTTGATAACTAGAAGATCATAAGCGGTAGATAAATGTTTTATTGTACAATATAACTGTAGGATTTTTTTGTATGCTCCTTGTTTTCGCTGGTAGAATAACACCTGACCTAGTCTAACTTAATCTAAGTGTAGAATTGCTCATAGTAAATGCTACTGATACATTTTGCAAGATCTTCGCAAAAGAAGAAGAAGATATAAACTTGTAAAATAAAAATTTAACTCTTTACATCCGTAGATCGTTCGAGTTCAGATGCTGCTGTTTGTAAAAGTACCCAAATCATTTCTGGATTCGTTTCGCCGATTTGTTCGTCTATAGTAAAAACAAAACATGAATATTATATTTTTACTGTAAATTAATGATTGAATTAGTTTACCATATAGTTGTTGAATTGATTTATATTCATTTTTTGCTCTATTTACTTCATCACATAATGAAGCTAGTTTCTCTTTTTCATGTATGAGCATTGGTTCTTTATCAAGATTTTGTAAAGCTAAACGTTTTATATTTTCTTTTAAACTTTCTTTAATTGTTTCCATTTGTTGAATCTGAAAAAATACTTTCAATAGAAAACAATAATAATATTTAAATAAATTTCATACTTCACCAAGATTTCCTATCAGTCTTGCAATTTCATCTTCATTGTTAATTAAATTTGCTAGTTCATCTGCATTTTTTTGACTAATAATACTACGTACTTCATTTAATGGATTTTCATGATTTGTATAATAACTGTTTATCATTTCGTATTAGGAGAAAAAACTTTGAGAGTGAAAATTTATTTGCTTGTTTCGTTCTTTCTCTTTGTTTGAACAAATAAAATAGGTCATGATTCATTTTGCTACCTGCGTTTTATCATTGCCTTTTCAATCACCAATCAGAATAAAGATGAAATTTTATATCTTTCAATTGTTTTTTCTCTTCATTTTAAAACATAAAAATTAGTCATTTTGGTTGTTTTATGAGTTTAAAGTCATAGTAATGTAAATAATAAAATAACTAAAATACAAAAAAAAAACATGACTTCCAATTTAAAATGTTACTCATATATATTATTGTCGCACATGACAACAGAAGATTTCGTAAAAAGAAAACACATAAGATTTTCGTTTAACATTTTGTTTATAATGATACAATTGTATAATTAGAGCAGGAGCTAAGCTTGTTTATAACCAACGAAAAGAGTTGTGTGTTCAACTACTGAGCAATTAAAAAAAATGATGCTTTATTCGAAGACGATAAAATGAAACGAACCAAATACGTAGTTGTCTTCTTGTTGTATCCAATGATACAGAATCTGAATTAAGCTGACGATAATTTTAAAATTAGTAGTACTTTTGTTTCCATGTATGAATTTTGAATGCAGTCGAAATTGCAATTGAGCCAAACCAGTAAAGACAAGAATTTATTCCATGCTTAATCATGTTCAATATTTCCGTAACTACTGTAGTTTTGTTATTATCTTTGTCATATGCTTACTATTTCAAATATAGTAAATAGAATTTGTTTTCTGTATGACAAGATTTTTTTACCAATAGGTCTTTTTTCTCTGACTGCTTACGAGATATTGTGTGCAATTTTAAAATGCAACTAACGTATTATTATTCGTTATTACAAATTTAAAATAATTAACCGAATCAAGAGTTCATTAAATAGAACACAAAACACGGTAAAATAAGAAAAAATTTGCTAGACTATTTGAAAAAAGGATTGAAATAGATTTTATTGATAAAATTTTGCTACTTGGTAATAAGAGAACAATAGTACGTTGTATAAATGCACAAGTTCAAATGATAAAACTTATATATGAAATATATTTATGCGGTTAAATCGTAGCTATAAATATTCTTAATTAAGAAGTTATGAAATTGCATTTGTAGTTCTTAAATGTCAACAATTTGTCGGCAAAGTTGAGGAATTCAAGATAATTCTATTAATAGTTAGTTGAACATTTATGCGTACTGCTCATTAGTCTACACATATGTTATCTGGAGATTCAAAATGAACAAAATAAATATAATAGCTAAAAAAACCTTCTTCATTGAGACTAAAATGCAATTGTTTTGTTTGAATGATGACAAGTGTTGATAGATCTTCTTAATAGAACACTGTATAAAATCAATATTATACTAAGGAAACAAAGAAAACTTATTTTTTTCATCTACTTCGTCGTTTAGATCGAAAACGTGAGAATATCTTCGTTATAGAAAGAAGAACAAGAAAATATAGAATTATTTAAATATCGTATGTGCTACATGTCAAAAGAAAAATATGTCATAGTAACTGTTAACTAACGATTTCGATCGTCAATCGAGATCTACTCATCCTCTAGATACTGAAAGTCAAGTAGGATTTCTTATTTGGCGTAGTCCTCATTATGAGTATAGTTATCAACGTCTATTAATCTTCCGGTTATTAGGTTTGTCGTTGTTGGTTTTTGAATCATTTTCATTGTAGAATACCTTAAATTCCACTACAAACACTATTAAATTTCTAATGCCGGGACGATTAATACTAATGGTACAAAGGAGCAAAAGAGCTTTCTTCAAAAATAAAATATGTATGTCGTGCCGAAGTTACACTCTTTGCCGAAGTTATAACTTCGGCACGACATATACATAATAAGCAAATTTTTACGTTATTTTTTATCTGACGTCGAATGGTATATAAAAAATAGCATTTAATGTAGCTTCTAATCATAATCAATACTATCCACACTGATATTCTACTAAATACATAAGTTCATCTTCGTTGTAGCAATATTTTTATTTTTTATTATCAATATCAATGGCTACGATGACAGCAATAAAGACAATATCTATTCACCAGATTGGCACCTAGCTCCTTCATCTTTAGAAGATTTCCCATTAGTAAATAGTTCATATTTTCAATATCGATTAATAGATCCATGGTTTTATCTTCATAGACTTGGTTTATATAAAATTCTAATCACAATAACAGCACGATTGATGTCATTTTGTGCTTCATCAAATGTATCACATGTTCTATTTGCATTACCATCACAATTCGGTTGGCTATTTAGATCTAATCGTTTATTGACAAATGGTACGATGAACATTTCAACGAATAGTTGGTGAGCATCAGCTAATTACTATTTATCAGTAATGCCATTTCTAGTTTCTACTGATATTGACCTTATCAAAAGTGAACCATTTCGTATAGCTCAACAAGAAAATTTTGGTTTTCAATTCTTCTGAATGTCTAAATCAAATTCCAAATGCGATGGCAGAATGGTACCGATCGTTAGTTCATCTTCATCAATCAAAAGCATACATAGGAAATAAAGAAATTAATGATAGAATTATTGATGAATGTTATTTGACATACATGTGGTTAGCATAGAAAATTACGATTTATATTGCATTGCCTTTAGTCAAATCAAAATTAGACCATCTTCCATCAAGTGTTGAAAAAACGTTTGATATTTATTGGGCAAAATTAATTAATTAATTAAATTTCTATGACAAGAAAAAACACGAATTTACATGAAACAATTAAAAACCAACGAAAATTTTCACCATTTCGTATTCTACTAGAATCAGATCGATCAGCTAAATCAAAGGATTTACCAGAAACAGTGAATAAATCATTAAAAGTTCTTATGTCATTTCGTTTCGATTGGCTATCATTTATTGAAAAAGTTTGGACACGACTAACATGTAATTATGAAGCAAGAGTTTATGCACAATACACATTAGATACGATGGGTGAATCAAAATTGGTTGTTCTCAAAAATTTAGCTGAAGCAATAACCAATGCATCCTTACATCGATGTGATCATTTATCAAATATTTAAAAATTCAATTTCTTCTTGCATGACAAATAAAATACAATAGCTTTCGTCTATTTTTTCTTTGAATATAATGCAATACTAGTTGACATTATTTTTCACTTATGAGTGAACTTATAATGTTTGCCTAATTTTTATGTCACAATAAAAGTACTACTAAAAGAATTGATATTATGCATGCAGTTTATTACATTATAAACGTAAATATGTTCATGTTTAAAAGCATTTTTGAATTCCGGAGAGAATGATAGAAATGTTCTTTTCATCGTGAAAAAGGAACCTTTTGTATAAATAATTTCTTATTCCGTTTCTTTTGGTTTCAATAGCTGTGTTTATTTTTTCTAGAATTAATTCTTTCAATCACTATATAAAAATGTAAAAGAATGGTAGCCCTACTTTCACGGTCATACTTGATCATATGGAAAAAAATGCAGCCATCATTCTACTACACATAAATTATTTTGATCAATTCAAGATTTATTTGATTAATGCTTACTTTAAGACTTCGTTTCTTCGAACGGAACTTAGTTGATATTCCAATGGTGATTCTGATAATGTTTCAAGGAAAAGCTTCATGCCATTAAATGCATAATTTCACGTAGTAGTTCGAAGGTTTTTTAACATCAATGCAAACACTTCAAGATTTGCTTAACAACAGTGAAATTACATGAACTTACATAGTGTATATTAACTTCAAATAACTCAAAATCACTTTGATTATCTGAATAGAAATTTTCTATTACAATCAAATTCTTATGCAACAAATTCATAATTATACTCGAGTTAGAAGAAATCTAGTCGTTTTTAATGTCCAAAATCTCTCAAAATCAATTATAATAATTTTGATTTGAATATATAATAATTTATTCGTAGTCCGACTGGTTTTTTTTCTCCCTGGAAGCAATATGAAATGTCAAAAATTTTACATAATGATATCAATGAAAAACTTAATTGTCAAGTATCAATGGACTAAGTTAACCGTATAGCAACTGATCATTTTTGAAGAATTACAATGATAAATAAAAATGAAAACATTCTTCATTCAGCTCATAGTACCTATTTGCTTGTAGATCGAAATACGAATCTTTATTTACAGAATAGCACGGTTTAGGCATACAAATGGACTTGGCATTTTTACTTTAAAAAAATCATTGAAAGTAAAATATTTCAAATATAATGAAAAAAAAAATAGTTCAAATCTTTATCCTAAACTATGTTTTAAAATAAAATTTCCTAACCCATAAAACGAAATCTTCGCAATACATAATATTCAAGTAGGATTTTATTGCTGTATTAGATATGAAAAAAAACAGATGTCAATTGTTGAATAGATATCTGTAGATAGAAGAACAATCGAACAAAAAACACAAACATCTAAAAAATGTCTAATTAATCGCCATGAAACAAATGCTTCTTTTTAAAATGATTTGCATGCTGTTGTTGTTGTTTTTTATTATTTAGATTATTAATCAATGCTTCCTTGATAAACAATTTCTGATCAGTACTTAATCCGATGGGATATTCAACATCAAAATCAATGATTATATCACCATATTTATCTGGATCTGTCATTAACGGCATACCATGACCTGGTATACGTTTTTTATATCCTGGTCTAGAACAAAAACAAGTTATTTCGTGTAGTCTTGTTTTTTTCTTCTTTTCTCTCTCTCAAAAGAATGCATTTTTCTTACCTAACAATATCATTAATTGGCACATCGAGAAGTCTTCCATCAAGATGTTCAATATGTAATGTTATTCCAACTAATGCATATCCTAAGGTGATTTTAGCTGTATAAATAAGATCTGAATTTTCACGACGAAAAATAGGATGTGGCTTATCTTTGACAGTAAAAACAAGATCCGATGGGATATTATTTGGACCTTGATCACCTTCGCCTTCAAATATTATTTTTGTGCCGGGTAACCAACCACGTTTAACAGAAATCGAAAGAATCTTCTCACGAATACTTGATTTTATGTCATCGTCATTTAATGCCTTGAATAAATATGTAAAAAATTTGAGTAGCAATGAAGAAGACGAAGAAATTTTCTTTGTTTTACTCTTCGACTTATTTTTATTTTCTTTATTGCACCATGATAACAATCTTCGAGTGAAAGTAAAAGATCGCGTACAATGGGCGGATCTTTTTTTACTCGGCCACGTCCATCGATTCCACCAAAACCTAAACTTCGATTTTGATTTGCAGTTGTATAAAATTCTAAGTACAAAATTGAGTTTTATTTGTGAAAATTTTCTCTTTCATCATTACCTATAAATGGATTATCACCACCAAAAAAATCTCGAAATATTTTTTCTGCATTTCCATGAAATACATAATCTTCTGTCCATTCCCCATCGGTTCCTTTAATTTCAACAAATATACTGTCTTTTTTTTCTCTATTTAAGCGATTCAACAATATTTAACCTGTTGGTACACCACGTTTTAAGCCTTCATTACCAAATTGATCATAGATGGCTCGTTTTTTAGCTTAATCAAAGAAAAAAAAAATTTATCAAATAGAATATAAATGAATTGAAACATACGATCACTTAACACATCATATGCTTCGGCTAAATCATGAAATTTATACAATACATCTAAATCATCTGGATTTGTTGCTGGATGAAATTTAAGTGCTAATCGATGATATCTATATAAAACATTTATAAACAAAAAAGATTCACTAAAATCTTTCATTTAATCCTTACGAAGATTTGATATCAGCATCCTTGGCAATACGAGTTACTTGAAGAATTTCATAATAGTCCTTCGTCATGTTTACCTTTTGTTTGAATGCAGGGATTTACTTAAATACATCGGCTTTTTGCCTTGGAAACTAGAAGAAAATTCTTTTCTTGCCATGTATATCTACTTTCACATAGCAACGACTTCTTTGTTATATTAAGAAAAATAGGCGACATTCATATTAGATTTTTTTTGTTCATTTAGAATCGATCACACAAGTAAATATTGAACTAACGATTTAAATCAGTACAGGAAAGTTTTTCAAAATTGATTTATCCTGTAAAAATAACTTTTAAACATAGAATTTAGTTATCAAAGTTTGCATCAAAACTCTATGAATAATCGTGTTTCCGCTAAATCAATACAATATCATCGAAATGTGTTTTAATCAAATATATTTATTTAAATGTGATATAAAAAGAACTTAATATCACGCAAAATACGAGTTTTTCAAAGAAAAAACCTATTCATGACAGGCTATGTTAGAGTGTGAAATGTAGAATTGAAGTCAACCTGCATCAAGTATGAACAGAAATATCCTATTTCGCACTTCATCAGTAGAATATGATTGTTGACTATTTAATCCTTTACTAAACGTTTTCTTTTTCCTCTTGTCATACTTTTGGTTAAGGTCAACAAGAGAAAATATGTCCCGAAGCAAAACAAAGAGAATTTCTACAAGGCAAAATATAGTCTTGTTCGTTGTTTATTGATTATTCGTAAGTCTTTTGTTGAAATCTAGTTAGTTATATATTTGATATGATAGAGTCGAATTCGAACAGGGAATATATTTTGATTTTTCATGCCTCTATAATATCTCAATTAACAATATGAGTTAACGAACAAAAAAGTCTTGTTCTCAAGAGGGAAATGTCATTGATTACTCTAGAACTTCAGATTTATTTTCAGGACACGATTTCATCATCATTCTTTTTTTTATCGCATATCCAGTGATTAATCATATCAGACAGAATTAATTGTCGGAAATCAATTTCTACTAACAAGAAAAGTTATATTTCTTGCTTGATTTTCTAGTACATGAACAAAAATTATCAATATCTTTATTCTACTTTGTTTGAAACATCTAGTGACATCTTAAGATTTTTGAATTGTTTTTAAGAATACTGAATCTAATAATATACGGATATTGCATGTTTGAATATAATAATAAAAATAAAAATAAAAAATCTACTACTTTGACACATGAGATCGAATGATCAATACAGAATCGAGACCATTCACATAGTTAATGGCGCTTAACAACGGCTGCTGATTCGTTCTTTTTCTTTTCTTTCTCTTGTTTCCCTACAACAGAACTATAGGAATCGATTAAAAATAATTTGATTGTTTTAAAATATATATTTCGCCTTTTTTCTATTTCGTTTAGGTAGATATTACTATTATTATTACTATTAAATATTTTTCTATATATTTTAATCAATATATTCAACTATTTGGTTATTTATTTTAGTCTTTCTCTTTTTCGTACTCGTGTTTTGTCTATGAATTTGTTAACAAATCGACTATATATCCAATAAAACAGTTTCTTCTCAATAAAAACCAATGATCGATGGCAGTGCTGGAGGTAATGGTAGCGAAACCGACATTATCGGTAGCGCATCCGAAATACTTAAAGACCGACTGTATTTTGCTACACTACGTGTAAAACCTAAATCAACTGGAAATACTCATTATTTTTGTATTGATGATGAATTTATTTATGAAAAGTAGAAAAAAAAATATTTATCTATATCTAAAGCGAATTTTCTTCTTTAAGTTTTTATGCCGATTTCGGTCCACTAAATTTGGCTGTTGTTCATCGATTTTGTACAAAATTAAATAAAAAGTTAAATGTAAAAAGCAAACCACCAAAACATTAAAGGAATTTTTTTCATTTCTGATCCTTTTTATTTTTCGATTTAGAATTCTACATTAGCACATAAACGAATTATTCATTTTACGACATTTGATCCAAAGAAAAGAGCTAATGCAGCTTTTCTTATAGCTGCTTATTCGGTAAGGATGGTGTCTTTTTTTATATTCGTCGTATTCATTTTCATTAATTTTAGATTATTTATTTAAAACGTACACCTGAAGAAGCATACAAACCATTAGTGAGCGGTATCAATGCTGCTCATCCATTTTTACCTTTTCGAGATGCATCACTTGGTTCATCATCGTATAATCTTACCTTACTTGATACATTACAAGGTCTTTACAAGGTTAACTATATTTTATTTTGATAATTATCGATCATTTCTCTAATTAATTATTATTTTTTAATTTAAAGGCTATGCTTCATGGTTTTTTCGATTTTGAAAATTTCGATCTAGATGAATATGAACATTATGAAGTAATAAAAATGAAATTCAGCAATACTTTAAAGATTTTCTCGTTATTAATAGAAAGTTGAAAATGGAGATCTAAATTGGATTGTACCTCGTAAATTACTTGCTTTTTCTGGTCCACATGCGAAAAGTAAAATAGAAAATGTATGTTGATAAAAAAAATATTCAAAAGCGAATAAAATTCTGCACCTTATTATGTTTCCTTGTTTTTATCTCTATAGGGGTATCCGTTACATGCACCCGAAGCATATTTTACTTATTTTCGAAAACGTAATGTATCAACTATTGTACGGTTAAATAAAAAAATCTATGACTCAAAACGGTTTGTCGATGCTGGTTTTGATCATTTTGAATTATTTTTCAATGACGGAAGTACACCCAGTGATGCAATTGCATTAAAATTTTTGAACATAGTTGAACAAGCAAAAGGCGCTGTTGCCGTTCATTGTAAAGGTATATTATCGACGATCAATAGCAAATAGAATTTATTATTATTATTATTAATCTTATTTTACATTTAGCGGGTCTCGGTCGGACGGGTACATTAATCGGAGCATATTTAATGAAACATTATAAATTCACAGCAGCCGAAGTTATTGCTTGGCTGAGAATATGTCGACCCGGATCAGTAATTGGGCCACAACAAAATTTTCTCGAAGAGTAAATAGAAAATTTGATTGATTAAGAATAGGAAAAAGAGTAATTCTTATTAATATTTATAGAAAACAAGCTTGGCTTTGGTCATTAGGTGACACATTTCGAATTAAAGATCGACCACGATATACATCCTATTTTGGTACTAATTCATCTATGGATACAATTGGTCTTAATCCACTTCGTTATTCCGTTGGTGATAACAATAATCACAATGAAGTTTGTTTATATTTGTTTCAATTTTTCAGTTTTTTGAAAATTTTGTTTCACAAAAATCAATTTAGGAAGAGAATGAAGGGGAAATAACACAAGGTGATCGATTAAACGAAATAAAAGCACGTCGTATGCAACATCATCATCTAACACCAGCACCAACTTGGGCTCCACCAAATACAAATGCAACATCGAGTCTTACGTAAGCTTTTTTTATTTATTTATCTTTAAGCTGTTAAGATAATCAAGATAGTGTGAAAAGTACATTTTGTATGCTTCAACAAAAAAATAATAATTTAGATGTAAATATTGTGTTAAAACTTATCAGTCATCATTGGTGTTTAACAAACATATGAAAAATCAACATTCCGATAAAGTTAATCATCCACATCAATCACTTATGAAATGTGAACAATGTATTAATAACAAAACTTTTTCAACAAAAAAAGCTTTACAATTGCATCGAATTCGAACACATAATAACAATAAAACTATCACCAATGGCGATAGGACTTATAGGTACTAGAGAGTAATTGATTATCGCATGGGTGAAGTTATCATCTTTGATTGGTCATGAAAATATATCTACGTATATAGATGATATCGAAGAAGTCTTTTTCTTTCGTGGTTTCGGTCGTTACTGCTCGTTGAAGGTTTCTTTTTTGCTCCGTAGTTGCCTGTAGAATGATAAGAGAATGTGTGTGGTTTAGAATAAGAACAATACCTATTTGTAGTATCGTCACAAGACCTTTATTTGCAACATCGGCCAGTGATGACGAACAAGTGACATCACGTCAAGCATACAATAGTCGAGTGAATGCAACTCCTATCAATACTGATGAATCCTATGAATCTACTATGTTTACAACAGCTCTGTTACACAGGTGTCTTTATAAAAAATGGACAAACAATTGCTTTGATCATCTATATTTGATCATTCCTTTTGCTTTTATTTAATCAATTATTCCATTAGCCATTCCTATCCCTGCCTGTTTTATAATATACATATATGCATATATGTGATTTTTGCATGAGTGGATTCTTATAGATTGAAACATGAGCGCTAAAATCTGCTTTCTATTGAATTTATTATTTTTTTCTTCTAACATTCTATCTGAGATTTTCTTTCACAGATTCAATCCTCCGATAACATACAAACGTACTTATACACCAATGAATTCAGTAGGGACTATGCCAGCTCAAAATCTTCCAATGACCATGGGACCATCAACTGGTGTACGTCGTAGTTATGGACCCATGTCAAATACATCTTCCAATATAATACCACCTTCGAATACACGGAAACCGCGTTCTTATGTATCATCAGCAACATCAATAATGAAAACGTACGAGCACTATTATTCGTTATTGTTTGCTCTTTTTTCTCTCAAGAGTGATAATCCCTTAACGTGGTAATATTGGTAATGAAGCGAGAGAATTTAATTGTAATATTTGATACTTGAAATGCCTGGAAAACATAATATTTTTGCATGAGTTCTTATTTAGCTGCAACAGTATTGGTCTGTGAAAAAAATAGATCCGAAAGTTATTGACCTAGAAATTCATTTGAAAAGATTAAAAAATAAAATGGAATCTTTTCGCTGAAATAGATTTCTTTTTACTATTTATATTCTAAAGTAATTTTTTGTTTTAATCATAGTTCAATGTATCCGAGTGGGCGATATATAAGTACAATAACAAATAATAATAATAACAATCTTGGAACAACATTAACTATATCTGATAGCGATAATCGTGATCCAGTATCATCAGCTATATTAAAAGTATCTTCAAATCAACCATATCGTGGTAAATCCCAATTAACCAATACTACTTCATTGCCCACACATTCTTATTATACACGATCAAAATCGGTATTGAGTATTTAATTAATTACATTTTTGTTTATCATTATTCTATTTTTAGTCTTATTCCAAATATTAATATGCATTAAGAAAGTGAGACAACAGTGTGATGGAAAAGTTGTGTTGCTCTTCAATGCAATCTCGCGTACTATCTCTCACACACTTTTCTTCTTGTGCCAAATCGTGTGTTTTTTGTCTTTTTTTTTCGATGAGAATTGATTTTTTCTACTTTTTTTGTTTTGTTTTTGTAGTTTCAGAATTCTGTGCTTAAATAATGATGGAAATTTAAAAAAAAAGAACAAGTACTCTCTTTGTCTTTTGTGTGTATGCATTTTTTTTTGTTAAGCTTATTTACTGATGATGCTGCTGCTGCTATTATTGATGATTTCTTTTTTCTACTACTACTACTACTACTACTACTACTACTACTACTACTATTACTACTACTATATATAAACGGACTTTTTCTTTATCTTGTCTTGTATATGTATTCTCATGTAATTTAAACGAAAAATATATAACAAAGAAAGGCGAGAAAATAAGCCCACCGAAGGGAACAAATTATTATTAATTGAATTTAACATTTTTCTTTTTCTTTTCTTCTTTCATATTTAGCTTAAATTATATGACTGACAAATGTTGATTGTAATATATACAAGGAAATCTCGTCTTACTCTTGTTTCGTTTGTTCTTTTTTTTATATTATTTTTGAAAGTAATAAGATACAATAATCAATGGAAAATATATACAAAAAGATTACGTTTGACTCTATTAAAATATTGAATAATAATCATTTCAATTTCATTCAAATACACTATTTTATATTCTATAAGAATTCTTTGTGAACAAAAGAAAAAAGTAGCCACATTCGGTTGTGTTGTTTCCTTAAATGCAATTTATCATTCACATCTGATTATTAACACCTATGATTACGATTTGATTTTCTCTTGTTTCTTGATGACCTTTTCTTTTCGATCTATTCATAAGCTGATGATTTTAGCATTAAGTTAAGTAGTTCATCATCGTCGTTATTCTCTCTTAATTATTGCGATTGCTAGCTCATACAGGAAGTTCTTATTGAACAACGAAAAAAAAAAAGATTGAATGCACACATGCAGATAGATATAAGAAAAAATAGTGTCAGGGAATTCTCACGAGCCTTTTTCTTTGACGAGCATTCATCATCATTTTTCTCTTTTTTCTTCTATCCCCATATCAATAGTTTTTTTTGCAAAATGCTAGCATTCAATGTTATACATGAAAAAAGAAACGATGAAGAAAAGAAGAAAAAAAATGAGAAAAATATACTACTACTAGAACCGAGAAAGAAATGTGATGTGGTTTGATGAAAGACGTATAGCACACGAGCGGAAAACAGGACAGGACGATGAGAGATCGGAGCTGAGAAGCATACTAGACGGGAAAAGTGAGGGAAACACATCGAGCAACTAAAGCAAACGAACAATCGCGTTCAAAGACACATGCATACATGAGTTTGCTAGTTGAACTTGTGAGTATTAGGAAAGAAAAGAGAGAGAGAGCGAGATAGAGATAGAGAGAGAGAGAGAAGAGCAGAATAAAACGCAACAAGATAGTACTACTCTGCAATAGTACAAAGAGAATACGTAATTAATATGATTGTAGCGTGGCGTCGCATTACTCGTCATTGTGTCTCCAGTTGTTCGCTCGCCATCCGCCCCTTTTCTTTTAACTGAATGTTGAATTCATTGAAAAAGTGGGTGCAAGATGTGGCGGTCGATCTGACACCACCAGTACCGCCACAACCATCGACATCTTCTCCCGCCTTATCATCATCTTTAAACCCAAGGCCAACTAATCATTATCATTATTCTTCGACACCCTCATATGATCTACCACATTTCAGTGAACATTTACCAAAGAATTCATCATCAACAATGGGTCTCTCACGGCCTATATCAATGGATAGTGTACGTAGTACGAGACTAGTAAAAACGTCAATACCACCGCCACCAGCATCCCCTGCTGAACTTGATTTAAGTCATTTAAATCGAGAAGAACAAGAACATATCGCAAATGTATTACGACGAGCTCGAGCTGTCGATGAACAGCAATCATCCGGACCGTTGATTGCTACTCCTTCGGCACGTTCACCGCTAGCATCAATAGTGTCGGCATCATTCTCGTCTTTAACATCGTCATCATCGTCAACATCAACAAGTAGTTTTAATAGTGAGAAACCGGGAAAATATGTGCACGACGATAAAATTCATGATGACGATGATGATGATAATGAAACGTAAGTAGATTATTTTTGCATGTTTCAGTGTATCTTACCAGAGAGAAATCTTTTTGACAAATTAATTTTTAATATTTGAACACGTTATCTAAATATTTACATAGATTTTTTTTGTTCATCATGTTGTTAGAAAATGATGCATGTCGAACAAAACGATAAAATATAAATTGTTTCATTTTCTTGTCTTCAGACTGATATTCTCCAGATACTTTGTAATTCTATATATTTATATTTAATGATCACGCAAATAACTATAAATTAATAGTAAAAAAAAATAAGAGAAAAGTCTCCTCTATCCATGAAACTGCCAATTATAAAAGATTGCATAAAAATAGTAACAGCTAGGAGACTTTTTTCCTCCTTTTCTCATTTGACTTATTTGCTAACATAAACAAAACATCTTTTCATTTGAGAAATCAAGTTAAAAAAAAGGGTTCACGTGGCAAATTTTTATTTATTGATTATATATTTTATTTTTGTGATGACTGACTTCTCACGGCATTTACACTCTTCACCATTTTCTATTCTATTATTAACAGACGCGACGATCGAGAAATCTCATCGTCTACACCAGAATCAACATTAATAACTATTTATCAATGCCAAGTGTGTAACAAACAGCAACAGGGAAATATACCAATTTGTTTTCAATGTCGAGACAATGAAGAAGTTGCACGACTAACACAAAGCAATACAAGTCCTGTAAGTTAACATGTCTATAGGCAATGTCATACAATAAATCAAAATCATTGCGTTTTTTTCTTATATTAGATCATGCCAACTAGAAAATCATTATCTCCTATACCGATAGAATTTAATAAAGATAACGACGATAAAATCTATGATAATGTCACGAAAATTGATGAAGAACCAGTGGAACAAAATTCGCCTACTCTTGATGATATGTTCTATGTCAGTCACCACGACACAACATTAATGAATGATAATCAAGGCCAAAAAAAACCAGACGACGAAGAAAATCAACATTGTCAATCACCACTCTTTGAATCAAAATCAGCATTGACATCGTTGACGATGGCAATTCCAGTGAAAACACGTATTAATAATTTAACAGAAATCGATGAAAATGATTTTTTCTATCAAGGACCAAGTCCATATGTAGCAACAATTGATAATATTCTAATATCTGATCAAATTACGGAAGCATCAATACCATCGTATAAAATCGATGAATATATCGAAGAAGATGATCATTATGAACGTGACCATGTGAAAGAATTAGAAGAAACTATAGCTAACTTATCTCGACACTTTCCAGTATCATCACAAAAACTGAATACTATAGAGATAAATCCAATAGTAACAAATTTACGACAACCATCAACATTATGTGTTGATGAAATCGACGTAGATTCAATTCTTGAAATGGAAATAGAGTCACCCCCAACAGATGAGCGTTATATTCAATCATCTTCATCTCTTTATTCTACTTCAACGTCATCTCAACATCCTCTTAATGCTCCTATTACAGTACCTATATTAACAAATAATCGTCGAGGAAGTCTCAGTCGTTCATCGGGCATACGAGAAAATCTAACTGATTTACTTATAGCAGCAAAAAAATCGACCGAATTATATCCGTCAGATACTCGATCATTACATCGAACTGCGTCCAGTCATAGCAAGGTATATTTATAGTTTTTAGTTTTCATTTCTCAATAGAATTGGATGGCACGAGAAAAAAATAATAATTAGTTTATTTAGATTGGCTACGATACATGTATATATAGAGAGAGAGAGCTTTTCTTTTCCAATATATGTTTGATAAAGATATGCTAAAATATTCATGGAATTAATAAAATAACTTTATACGATGTCTTCTCCTTACATTTAAAACAACATCCCGCCCACACTAATCGTGCAAGCCTTTCTTTTTAATGAGGATTACAATGAAGATGCGAATTGTTTTTCTTATTCTAAGGATAATAGTGAATAATTAGATTTTCTTGATTTAGCGAATAATACCAATTCATCGACAAAAACGCAATTTGCCTACGGTACCACTAGCGACGGATCATATACAATTGCGTCGAACTAATTCGGAATCTCGATTTTGTCTTCCGGCTGTACGATCAGCCGTTCTAATGTCTAATAGTAATATAGATGATGAATGTGATTTACTTGAAATCGACCTGAATGATCCTATGGGTTCGATGAAAAGAACATCTCGTTCAAAAACTGAATCTGAAATTAATATTAATAATGATATTAATTATGATCGAATATTCTTTAATACAACAAATCAATCACCATCATTTGATAGAATATATTTTCCTAAAACACAAAAGAAACAATTAAAAGATCAAACAACAAATACACCACCGATATCAAATCTTAATTCAACAATGAAAACAAAAAAGAAACTTAAGAAAAAAGGTTCATCTTCACCCAATAACTACCATACAAGTTCAACATATATCAATGGACAATCGACTCCAACTGCTACATCACCAACATTACCAAATCCTCCTTCAATTGTATTACCTTCACCAGCAGCAACACCAACAACCACAGCAACTAGTACTCCTTATCGTCCAAAATTGCAAAAGGTTTTATTTTGCTTTTCAATTTATTAAAATCTTGAATAAACAAAAGAACACTACTTTTAATTAATTTTCTAGAGTACCAGTACAGAAATTTCCTATCCTTTTCAAGTATCAAAATTAATTTTAAGTCTTGATAGACGAAATACAGCTCAAAAAAGTATTTTACTTTTAATATATATATTTTTCAGCAGCGTAATTTTTTCATATAATTTTAGATGATGCCAACCTTGGCCTACGTATAACAGGCGGTCATTCGTTACCAAATTGTATGGAAGTCACAGCATGCATTGAACATCTAGATAAGCACCATAGAAATTATAATATATTAAAAATTGCTGTTCAAGAAGGCGAGTTCATCTTAAATAATTAAAAAATGCTTTCTTTAAAGTTGACAATGAATATAGGTGATGAAGTACTTGAACTTGGTGGAGTATCATTACGTGGGAAAAGTGCCTTATTTGTTCAAAATTTAATGAATTCAATTCAAGATGAATTTGAAATTGTTGTTCGAAGGTGAATAAAATAAAGATGCTAGAACAATAATAATATAACAATAAGAAAAAATTGCTTTTTATCTAGTCAACATGTAATACCAACAACTTCACCTCCAATTGAAATTCATAAGCCAGAAAGTATTAAATCAAATAATCGCCTTGCAGTCTTACCAAATTCATCATTAGCTGTTGATCAAACTATTCAACGAAGACATTCCATGGATACAACACAACATTCTCAGCAGCATTCAGCAAATAATCCAGTTGCTAAATCTCTATCTACCATGTTACCATTACCAACAAAGGAATCTAATGATGTATCCGATCAATTACTTTCACCTACAATGACTCGAAAGAAAAGTATATCTTCAAAAGAACGTCTTTTCTCTGTTGAATCACTTCACCGTGCATCATCAATGAAATCAGTTGAATATTGTATGAAAGCACCTGTACCGCCCACTAATAATATAAATCCGATTCATAATGACACGTATATTGTACCTGAACAAGAACGTACACATTCAATGAAACGTTATGAACAAAAGCCAATATCATTATCTGTAACAACACCTGAACATGTCAGCCATAGAAAAGAAAAAATTTGTTCTTTTCAAAAAAATAATTCTTTTTTTTATTTTAGGAAATTCTACATGAAGATTCCACCATGTCAACACAAATAACACAACCACCTCGAAAATATGAACTTCGTAATAGTTTATTACCAAATGATCCAGGTTTAAATGGAGTTGCAAGTAGTCAAAGTGTTGATCGACGAAACTCGAATGAATCTGATGAAAGTGATAATCTGTCGCAATATTTTCGTTCTCCCACTAGTCGAAAAAGTAGTTTAATGACAACAAATGAAGTATCCAATGTTCCGAATAAAGATCTACCTCATGAAACTAAACCAAATGTATCTTCAAATAATAATAATAATAATACTGCCACAGTAGATGCATCAACTCGTTTGCAAGGCTTTATTAAGTCACCGGAAGAACAACGACCACCGAGAGATTCCACTGGAGGTAGTTTTATAAGTCATAATAAAATGACGACAGATAAATTAATCTCAATTTTAGGTTCATTTAAATTTTTAAAGAAAAAAACCAAATCTGTTGACTTTTCCAATCCAGTAAGTTTCTTATATTTCGTTCGGTTTCGAAATAAAACATAATTAATATTCTATTTATTTAATTAGCCAATTGAAATACGTGCAAATGATTATGTTGGTGATATTGAATTACAAATTGGACATAATAGTGAACGTGAACAATTGGTTATACGAATAGTTAAAGCGAAAAATTTACTTGCAAAAGATACGAATGGTTATTCTGATCCATTTGTTAAAGTGTATCTACTACCAGGACGCGAGTAAGTATATAATAGAGTAGATACATCATTGTTAGAATTAAATAAAATTTTGTTCTGATGCAACTAACAGAAAAATAGGTAGTTATTTATCATGTATATTTGAATGCAAATGATTTACGACTTGATTTGTGTTCAGTTAGAAAAAAAATATATATAAATATAGAATAAAATAAAAAGATACAATGAGTTTGGTCATTCGGTACATACGGCAAGTGCTAAAGATTCTTTGAAGACTATATTTCGTTCAATTGAGTATTTCATTTAATTTATAACTGAGAAGATGAGTCTTAGCAAATGATAATAGAATGTTCATCTTACGAAACAATCTCTAGTAGTGATTGTACATCGGTGATAATCTGTTCAAAGGAAGGAAATAATTTTTTTCTCTTTTCTATAACTATCTTGAATAGATTGAATATCATATTTTATGAATGAACGTGGAAATATTCTTTAGTCTATGAAAACGTTTACTCGATATAATCTTGATCTTGTTTTGTTATTCTAGTCAAGAAAATAAACGTCGAACGAAACACATCTCGAAAAATTTAAATCCTCTATGGGATTATACTGTTATCTATGGAAATATGCATCGAGAAGAATTACAATATAAAATGCTTGAATTTACTGTTTGGGATTATGATCGATTTAAAGCAAATGATTTTCTCGGACAAGTAACCATTGATTTGAAAGGTATTTTTCAATAAATATTTTTGCGTTTTCTCTTATGATAGTTTATGTATCTCTTTTTCTTCTTCTTCTGAATTGTTAGACGCTAATGTAATTGATGATAAACCACATTGGTATCGTTTGCAAGCATTACGTTCACGCGAAGAAGCTACAAATCGTGGCTCATCGCCACGTTTATATAAAATGACATCAGTTGATTCAACAGGTTCATCAGCATCTGCATTCAATAAAAGTACGGCCAATTTGCAACCGCCTGCCAATCAAAATAAATAACCGAGAAGCTTTAATAATTTTATTCATATATATTTTTTTCCTCGTTTTGTTTTCTTTCTGTGCTATTTTTTATTTCATATTCATATATAATTATCTATTCAGATATGAACAAATATATGCATATCGAATTTTATTATAAAACAGAAAAAAGAAGACAGAATATTTACTCGTGTTTTTGTAATCTTTCATAAACGATAAATGAGGAGATAATAATAATAATATATTCGTTTTGTTATTTATTTGTTCTATTATATTTGAATAGATTTTCTTTGTAATATGATCATTGAAATATGACGATATGCTTTTGTTTTTATATATAAAATATATTGTTTAACATCTATCTATTCAATACTTTTTAATAAATGACATGTAATGTACTAGTTTTATTTCTTTTGTATGATCAATCCAATTATGATACATCATTTTCTAAAGTTTAATAGCTCATATTATTCTAGCAGAGAAGAGCATCTCATAAATAACCACGCACATTATCTGTAATATAAGACATATATGCAATAAATATTGTTTATAGATTTTTAGGCAAATCATGCAAGATGATGAATTAATTTTATATTGACAAATATTCACACGCAAAATAAATGACTTCTACGAAAATGTTCAAATATTGTTTCTGCGTGTTTGATTATTCAAATTTTGGTAAATGCTAGATGTCGACTTGAAAAGTTCGGATTCATGAGAATTATGTGACTAAATTATAACAAGGCGACATACGCAATTAGATATACAGATTTCAGATAGATATTTTTCATTTAAGTGACAATACTCATATTTATGTTCAATCAAGTTATATTAATTTTAAATTCTTCATATTTATTAGCACTCAGATTGCATTTCGAATGAAAGTAGTTAGTCAAAAATTTCTTCTTATAAAATGATGTATTACAGTTGAACCATCTCTCTCTGTCTCTCTCAACAAATTTTTTTAAAATCGCTTTATTTATTGTGACGCATTCGCCATGAGGCGCTGGCCGTCTTCTCAAGAAAATTCTATACTGTGTTCAGGTATTTTAAGCACTTCGAGTTTTTACTTATTTAGAAATTTGGTACATGTTTATCTAAGACCTCCAATAATTAAATACAGATATATATTTCTATTGCACACAATGTTAAGTATAGTTTACATTGTGATACATCTATATGCATGGAATGTAAAAGTATCTTGGGAATAAACATGGATCTCTCAAGCTTTCGTATTTGACTGAATAGCAAAAGAGATATTAGTTGTACGACGAGTTCATCAAGTGGAGCGATGCTTAATGTAATTGACTTTATTATTTTTTGTGTATGACTTTCAAGATTTATTTAGTTTAACTACTTGCCAGCTTCAATTATCTTTTGAATGAAAATTCAGTTCATTGCATGGAATACTTTGACAAATACATACTTATTTAAGAAAGAATAACCCTTGAAATTAATTGCAGAATATACTCTTAATTCAATTTCTAAATGTAGAATCTACACTGTCCTTGATTGGATACAAATATTAATTATTTTATTACAATATAATAGAGCATGAATGAACAATCACTACCAAACCTAGAAAAAGTGGTTCTTTTATTGATATAATTCTCCAATAAAGTAGACTCTTAGTAATATCGATTGAATAGGTACTTCAGTATATTTCACTTTCAATACAAATAGGATGTCAAGAGGGTCATGTTTTGCACCAAAAGAAACATATATATTAGACTATATATTCATGAAATCTTGTAACTAAATAATAAATATCGCCTAGAGTACGCTTTGAATTCAATATAGCTATATGCAAGAATAATTTCTATCGAAGTATTGAAAGAGATATCCTATTATCAACATTTAAATAGAGCTCCAATCGGATATCTTTCTGTAAATAGTCTATTAGTGGCTAATTAATAAACCTATGCTATCAAATTTATTCTTCCTTCATAAAATAATACTAACGAAAATAATTAGATCTTTTTCAATTACACAGGTGAATGAGTCCGACAATGGATCTTATCGAATCCTATGGGATCCGATCCGACTCCCCGGCAGAATTCGATAGGATTCCTGAACACGGACCTATTATCGGTTCCAACGGAAAAAAATCAGAGCCACCAGAGCGCAAGAGTGGTTCGTTAGAATTGGATTTCGTCAAAAATTCAACATCGGATCCGATACCAAGGATCCAACTGTAGGTCTGTGTCCAGGAATCCCACAAGATTTCGTCGGTTTTATTGAAATACATATGATATTCGGTATATTCACTGTCTAACCCTTGTCGGAATCCTATAGGATCCTACTGTCGGAATGACTCTCCTGGGTATAATCAAAAACCCCTTTGAAAAAAAAATGGATATTAAATCATTAAAGATTATGTATAATAGTCATCTGATTTTGATTGTAAAAAAATCTTTATACAATAGACACTTTCTATCAGCAATCAAGTTTCCATTATGATTTGTCTTATATTTGAATCGTATGGACATGCGCTTTGTATATAGAATGCACCAAGGGATCTTATCGAAATTACGAAAAAACGTCAGTCAATATTATTCCATCTACTATTTACTAATAGCTATTCTTTTATTCTATTAGTTGACCTTCTACCAAGTAGCAGGTACTTACTAAAGTAAATTTGCATTATACTAGAAAAAAGCATACTTAATATTACATATTCATGGTGATCAGATGTCGCTAGTACAAAGAATGTTATTGAGAAACTAAATATAAATTTGAGGGTGTGGATGTAACTTGAGAAATCAACCACATTCACAGGAATAATTACACTCGCATCCACTCTAGAACTCAACGTTAATTGACTCTGGTTTTCGTGCTGTTGGACAAGGCGAAAAAGTACCAAATATATATTTCGTTTTATTGATATTCCTTGGCTTTTCCCTCTACTGAAAGGAGGGTATTACGAAAAACGAGTTAAATGCGTTCGCTCGTCCAATAGGAAAGCACATGCATAAACTTAACTAACCTCAAACAATATCCTGTAGGGATAGGTTTGACCGAAGGTAGTTGAGGTCGGTGAACACGATGGCGTTGTTAGTTTTTTTTTTTATAAGGGTTGACCGAAGATAATCGGGGTCGGGGGAACTGTAATCTGGCGTGAGATTTTCAGAGTTTATGATCCTCAACTTTTTTAGTGAAAAAAGTATTTTTTCAAGAAAATAGTTTTCCTTGTAAAGTTTGATCAGATGCTGTCGGGGTNATTAAATTAAAGAATTGTCAAATCTTTTTTTCTAATCATATATCAGATGTGAAAATGATGGTGGAACATTGAGATGTGAAACGAGATAAATGATTTTTGAAAATGATTGCACAATAATAATATTCGTTCAATATAGAGCAATAAACGTTAATGGAAAATAAAATGTTTTTAGCATGAATAAGCATTTTGTATAATTTGAAATTGTACACGTCTAAATAAAGTAAAGCTTTCTTTTATATCGATTATATGAATCTTGAGAAAAATCATTCTATCAAGTGTAATGACAAATATTGAACGCTTAGCTTCTGAAGAATTTGTTCAGTATGCGAAAACCTACTCACTTCTGAAAGAAAGGATTAAAATTTGAAATTCAATATCATGCATATTGAATGATAAAGATACTCAGAAAGGACGAGGGACGTTTTGGGATAATTTCGGCCCAATTCGAAAGAGACATCGGCTCAATCTGAAACTTTCCCCAAACTACGGAGCGCGTTGCTCTATATCATTTCTACAAGTTTCAGCTTGATCCGTTGTGCATTAGGGCAGTTGTGGCTTTGCTCACCCGAGCATCTTTTAGGTACAGTGGTTAAATTTCGAGTCGGTACTTTTTCAGCACAAAGCAACATGCTTTATATACCATTCGATACAAAATTTACCCCGAATAAAACTATATATAGAAGTTCTAGTAGGAGTTGAGGATTTCTTGCAAAATGTTAACAATGCTATTTAGCTGTGATTATTTTCTGTCAGGAGCAGTATCCAGTCAGACAAACTATTAAAAAAAACGTGTAAAAACGCGTCGAAATTTTAACGGAAAAATAATCGTAAAAAGCGCACATTTCTACGCGTTCGTTACGCGTTAAAGTTACTAAACGAACATTACTTCGTTCAAAAAATTAACGCGTTATAAACGCGTTAAAATGTGCGCTTTTTACGATTTTCTTTTCCCTAAAAAGAAAAACGCGTTATTCCGTGTTTTTTCTGTTGTTTATCATACTTGGTCAGTCATCAAGAATTCTTCTTCCGTTATGTTTTTCACTGTTGAGACAGCGTGAACTCTAGTGAAACTGATATCAAATAGTGACATTTTTTTCTAACTTCCAGCGTTCTCCAAGATTCGATCCTACGTTGTTCTGATTGAGAGTCGAATATATTATCCATTCGACTAGTCTTACGTTTGAAAGTTAGAGTGAAAATACTATTCGAACCGAATAAAATTAGGTGAATATAGAATGAAATGAATTTTGATAAATTAAGACTTAAATCAACTTTAGCTGCTTTGAGCATTCATGAGAAAAAATTAAAACAAATATTCATCCGAAAAATATGCTTATATTTTGTTAGATATTTAAAAAACCTTTTTTCATAATTTTTTTCTTATTATTTTAACATAAATTTCTAAAAAATTGAAAACAATATACAAATATGTAAAAAACATATACACATTTTTTCGATGATGCATTTGGAAAAAATCTTTGAAAAAATTTTTAAAATATTTCTAAAAGTATGTATATTATTTTAAATATTTTTGAGAATATATTTAAAAATATTTGGAATTTT